ATATATATATATATATATATATATATATATATATATATATATATATACACGTTTACGTTAGTAACGTCTTTGCTTTTACCGAGTTCATTCATGATGTATACACAATTATTTACCAAGCTAATGGCATTTATTCATTCCAAAAATTTAAATGAGCAACGTTAGACATTCGTATACCCTATTTAAAGTGTTTTTTTTTTTTTTTTTTAATATATATAAATACGCATAGAAAAATAAACAAGCCATTTAATTTTGATAATTAACTTAAAATGAACGTAATTCAATTCAGTATACCACAGAATACCACTTTCGTGTATCCAACAGAATAATATAATTGTTAGATTTAATATGAAATAAAATGACTATAGTCAAAAATAATTTTACGTATGCATTTGCATATAAAATTCTCGAAATAAACCAATAGTTTTAGTAAAAATATCATCATTTATTTCTTGCATATCTCCTATAAAAGAACCTTGTTACGTAACGAAATTGAAAACGATACAATTTTAGAATATTGCTGATCGATATAATATACGTGAAAGGTATACGTTGTTATTTCGCTAAATATAGTATATTATTAGATGATTTTCACAAATTTAAAATTGCAAATTCTATCGAAAATAAAAAACTGTTAATAATTTAACTCGAACTTAATTAGACATTTTTTATTTTATTATTTTTAATTCTTGATTTTCGTTTTCATAGAAGTTCGAAAGTTTGTACCGCGCATACTATTGAAGCGGCTAATTTATTTATTATTAGCTTTGGTTTATTTTTTTTGTAGAATGTATTAAATATTTGAGATTTTCTTCGTTATTAAAGGATAATATAATTCTCTGTACATTAATAGATTAGATAACTTATGCCTGATGAAATTCCTCCTAACACGAATAGAAATGTTGAAATATCAAAAATGTATATAATTCTGTATTCGTTTTCAATAGCTTAATCATACGTAAAACTAATGAACCAAATAAACTTTTTGGTATCATATATTAATTCAAAAATAATTTGAATAATTTAATATTTAATTTTGTAATATATTTGGATTTAACTTAAACATAGTATTATTACATATTTTAAACTACATTTATGTTTTATACTCTTTTTTTAGAACTTTGAATGGAATGAACCGATGAGTATGGGTGCATTTAAAATTACACCTTCAATATTCGAAATTAATCATGAACAATCAATAGATCTAAAGGTTACGTTTGAACCACGCTTGCAATCGTTTTATGTAAGTTATACAATTTTTTATATTACGGTTACAATTAGTAGGTATGGTTAAAACTTAAACTCGGATGATATTAACTAAATATAAATATATTGGAATTTAAATTGTAAAATTAATTTTCGATTGTATAAAGACAAATATTTGAAATGATTTATGCTCACTTAACCATAAATTAAAATTTAGAATAATATAAAAATAAACTTTCTTGTTATATAATTTATATTTCAAAGCATAGTGAATAAGAAAACGTATCTGAGAATGCTAAGAACTAACATGAGGAGTAATTTGGAATATAATAATGAGTAGATATAGAGTGATACTATGAAAGGAAATGTATTAAAAACGTTCGGATATGTTATAACAATTAATGTAACAGTTGTATCACGAAAGCTACTATAGCATAGCTGGTGGTGTGAAAGCGAGCTATGGGAGACTGGCCCATCTGAAAGTAGAGGTCAAACGTGGATTTGAGTTGGGTTTTGGAAGAGAAGCTGTATTATTAGACTGTTAGTTTGTTAGCTATTTGGACACACATTTCTAAAAGTTGCACATAGTTGTTTTGTTGTAGGATTTTCGTTTTAAAGAGAAAGAAAATCATCACAACCGATTTACATATCAAAATTATCTTGTATTGGAGATTTCTAATTAACGTCTTAAGAAAAACAGTGGTACAGAAATGCTCTTAAATATTATGATATAAGACAAAAAACAAAATACATACAATGAAAAAGCTACATAAAAAAATACAGTTACTAGTCGATGGACGACTTTATGTTTACTAGCTATTATAACAATCACTTCACTACGAACTGTACATTTTTTCTGGTTGTATAGTTTTTTCCATAGTAAAAAATAAAAATATATATTCAAGAAAACCCTAATAAGCAAATAAATCATGAGGCCCGCAATAAATTCAAATGTTTAGTCAAAGCACAATGTATAACGATCGATTGACTAAACGTCATACATTAAAAATACCGTACCAAAAAATTGATTTGTTTCAATAACAAAATAAACCTTTTATTAATATTATTATTATTACTATACAATTTATGAATTTCTAGATGCGTTCAGAATTTAAATAATATTATGCAATCCATAGTATACCTAAATAAATCATCATCACATTATGTGTCCATAACTATCCGATTTTTAACATCAAAAAAAGCAGTGTGAGTATATTCATAAATAGATGTTATACAATCGTTTTATCGGTAATCTAGTAATGGAGTTCCCGCAAGTTATTTCACTCGAAAATAATTAAATAGCATCGTATACGTTATTCAAGACAATATATCATATACAATATAACTGAAATATTTCTATTGGTTACAAGTTTGTTTCATTTGAAAATTAGACGTAATAATATTTCTAATTGTTTGAAAACGATTGGGTTGTACTTAAAAAATACCATGTACACATAAATCAATAACAGTTGTGTTAATAAATAATGTTTGAGTGTTGCCAAAACTACAAAAAAGTGTATTTTTAACAAAATTTATTTTTAATTATAAGCAAAATTAAAATGTATCAGTTGCCTTTCAGCTCAATAAAAACCGTTTTTGTCAAGTTACTCAGAATCGATCAGTTTGAACACATTATTAATAATATCGACAGCATTTCAGTTATTCAAACAATTGGAAAATAATATAATAAAAAATAAAAAAATACAACCATCTGTTAAATTGGTACATCATTACAAAACACACTGCAACTTAGTTTCGTGAACGAATGATTTCATTTTCAATTATCATTTTATATATAAACAACATCTGTAACTCATGTATAGATGGTTAAATTATAAAGTATGCAGATAACACTTGTCTTTTTATTACTAGTAACTCATGGAAGAATTTTCATTACAAAACAACTTTTAGACTAAATTACTATTTTAAAGAACTAAATAATAATAAACTGACTTTAAATATAAGAAAAAGTGTATTCATTGATTTTTCTATCTATAAAAACATATCATTTCATGAAATTGTTATTCACTCATGTGATAAACATAGGTCAAATTTAAATATACTCGTATATAATTGGCAAAAAATAAATAGAGAAATAAGAGTGAAATATTTAAGTATAATAATATTGATTGAAATCATCGGTAGAAACTGCATACTGATAACTTGGTTATGAAGTTAAGATCTATTACTTTTAAACTCTTCGAAATTAATAGATTTTTATCAACTGAAACTTTTTGTATTGTATATAACGCACTCCATAAGTCGATTCTCCAATTCTGTTTATTGGAATGGGGTAGCTATTCTGATAATGCCGTAAAACCCATTGAAACTCAATAAAATCATGCAATGAGAATATGTCTAAATAAAAAAGATTTAAAATGCTTGAATTTATGAAGAACTCAGTGTTCTACTAGTCATGTATTTCTTCAAGCAGTTCTCCATAATTCATTAAATAAGTAAAATAACATATAAACAGAATAATAAACCTAAAATCGTTTATATTACCTGTTTATAACCTACACAAATAAAAGTAAAGAAAATAATTTTTAAGATTGTTTAAGTCCAAAAATGTTTAATTCTATGCGTTCGTATTTTTCTATTAGCAGCGCTGCTAAGAAGTGATGCCTAGTGGCTACGTGTGAAGGAGCCTTATTCCGCTTTGTATAAAAAAAATATTTTTAGTACTAAAAGTGAAAATAATAAAAATAAAAATGTTAAGAAAAAACTATTATAAACTAGCTGTTAACAGATATTTGATGATTTATCATTATTCATAATAAGGCATAAAAATCGTACATATTATTAATTAGTTACAGTGATTATATTGTATAAATATTATTACTACTATTGTTATTGTAATATTTTATTATTAGTTACATTAGTAGTACATTAAAAACTATTTTATTTCACTACAAGCTATACTTGATAGAGTAAATTACTTAATAATACATTATTATACTTTGTAAATTATTGTTAATTAATAATGATATTATGTATTATTCGATGTCAATGTGTATGAATGCTAATAATTTTCAAAATAAGTAATATAATAACTTGAGAAGACTTAAAATATTATAGTTTATTGCATAATAGTTTTGTTGATATTGATTTTTAATAAAAAGACTCAGAAAAAAGAAACAAAGAAATATTTTCTAGAATAAATTCGATAGAAAATAAAAACCGGTACAAATCTGCTAATAATTTTGTAAAAGAAAAAAAAAACTATTACCATGTAAACATCAAAAAAATTAAAGAGTAGACAATATATTATATTTTTTTTTTTTTACAGACAAAAGTTGTTCAATGAACAAATAAAACTCTCCCTGTTTAATTTTTATATAAGGCCATACATTTTCAATAGTGGTAATATACAATTGAAACATTTTACTGCATGTTTTTCTACCATCTACATAACATTATATTCGTTTTTGAATTTTTTTATATATTTATATTCGTTTTTGATAGTTTATTTTAAAGGGTGTCATCTTTAATTTTTTCAGTTTATATTTGGCTATAAATAATTTCATATATATCTAATAATTTTATACCACCGATTATTATCAATCTAAATAGCCTGATAGACTGTTTTTAGATTACAAGCGTCACTAGAGAATTTTATTTTATTTTAGTTTAAAATAAATGTAAATGGGTATGCATTATTTTGTTTTATTGCAATAATAAACTATTATTTATACATACAGATATTTACAAAGATGATATGAATAAATTTTGAGCATATCTTTATAAACGTATTTTTAAATAAATCGAAGACAAACAATAGGTTAAAAACCCTTGATTGTTGTATCCATTATTTTTTTTTTTTTTTTTTTGTATATAATTTAATGTATCATATTAACTTCTCTTTGTTATTCAAGTCGTTGTTATAACTTAAATTTCTTTTTTCCTCTTGAGTTTCGACTCATTTATGATAAATAAATGCGTTTGGAGGAAAAAATAAATAAATATTGGATAAAATGTATTTTTGCCAACATTTACAATTACCTAGGAAGTTTTATCACAAATATTATTTATGCTCATGATAACTGAAATCATAAAACATTTACCAATGTGTTTAAATTATTCACGTTTCATTAATTTTATTATATAAATTAATAATACATAAATGTCTTCACTTCTATACGTTTAAAGGTAACACATTTATTGAACAAATCGGTGTAACTTCACAGTATAATAACATTAATATTGTCATTAATATTACTATTATATTTACCATTCATCAACGTTATCAATCGGACTATCCTATAAAACTAAAACAATTTATAGTTATAATATACATTTATTAAACTCCGTGTTTCTCTATTGCGTAACAATATATTACTATCTAAAGTATCTTTTATCATTCAGCATATGAACAAATATCCTCAAGTATACATTCTCAGACATATATAGGACACAAATTATTACACAGTATTATTGTCAAACTTATCTTTGTTTCTGGTAATGTTTTTGAAATAATTTTTTATTCGAGCCATATACTAATGATCTGCTGATTTGTATGAATATATTTTCAAATATAAAAGCTGTCCTTTGGTTTTTAGATTATAATTATAAATGCATTCTTCTTAATTGCCCTTGTCTTCCATAACTACTGATCAAACCTGGACGAACAATTATTTTACATTTTCAGTCGCAACATTTTTAATACAAATTAAAGTCTGCGTTAACGTTGTTTCTAATTTTTTCCCGAGTTCACCAGAGAGTTTTTCATAGTGCACCTCTCTAATATCATTAACAGTTTATTTTTGTAAACACATTCATATACAAAAGGCCTGGGGTTTTAAAATTTTTACCCAACAAATCTGACCGGCATCATATTTTAGTATAAGCTTTTATTTAATTTCTACATTATTTTAAATCATACGAAAAATAATGTCAAGTACACAATAACAATTACTATAATTATAATAATAGCAATAACTTGAATCCGAATTATTGAAAATATATGGTAAATAAATTATTTGTGTCATCTGCTCATGCAGAATTGCGCCACATTATCACACTAACATCCACCTTGCAACACTCCAACCGTAATCGATTTTATAACCCTAAATATGTTTAATGTTGTTTTGAACATGCAGTGTTCCAGATTTATAATTATATCAGATAATTCATGCGCACATGAAGTGAACGTGTTTGGCAACGGTCAGATGTTTGGCGAAGATTGGAATATTCAGTTGGAGGTGAGTACTACTTGTGGGGCGGTATTTGTGGGTGGAAAGAAAAGTAGCCCGAATGAATGTCACATCTTGAAAAAATGGAAAAATTAAACCATCTACTCACACGCATACGTTTAATACTTATATGTATACACATATATGTATATATATTTAAGTACGCCTATTTGTATCTGTCATGCATCCTGTCACAGGGACAAAATTTGGTGCAACTGCTCAATGCCGGGCCTGGAAGTTACGTGCTTGACATGGGAAAAATTGGCGAGGTCGTCCGATACGTGTACGCGAAAAACATGAGGTATGGCGAAACGCGCACAAACGGGTAACCCCTATGACCGGCCTAGTTTTATGTTACCGTGGTTAGGTACACCATGTGTATCTTGAATATTTATATACATACACGTTTATGTTATAAACGGTTTACGTAGTATATTTTACCACGTCAGGAACGACCCGATCTACACTACACGGTATGGCATGGTAAATTGAACGAGAGAGAGGATGAGGTGTAAGGGTAGGTGTGCTGGTTGATCGGTCGTGACACCAGAAATGGATGGGCAGTACGTGCAATAAAGTTTCGTTTAAACAGTTGTGCGACTGTGTATGTACGTGTGTGGTTTGCTCATCGAGACGCGAGCAGGTCAAATAGAGCCATCTGCAGCAACTTGAATTAACCTAAAAACAATCATCTTGGTAATCGCAATCTCAAAACGAAATTGTTCTAATGGCGATCTGTATAGGAATATTTATATAATATTAAAATAATATGACGTATTAGAAGTATTTATATAGACCACACCAATAGACCTATACGTGCACATGACTAGCATCAGTAGGGATATGGGAATTGGAGATGCACTGCACGTTATTCTTGTGTACATCGTTCAACGAATACACGTGTTTTCGATACCGATCGATAACAACAGTTTATTTTGGAGCTATATATACATAAAATCTACAACCGGAATAAACGTTAATTTTAATACACGTGTTAATATTATGCTTTTATTCATTTTACTATTTAGTATTTTTTTCCCCGATTAGCGTTAATTACCAACATATTATAATTATACGAGGTTGGGGCTATTAAATGTATACAATTTATGGTAGCGCGATAATATGGCCATATAGCCATCTTTGCAGTTAGGCGCTAATGTTAAAACATGCACGTGTGAACACAACCATAATTGAATGATATAAATAGTACGAATATACAACGCCTTTGCATCTGTGAACAATGCGCGAACACAGTAAATATGATTATGAATTATCTCCGGTTGTTTCTATTTGTTTTCGAATCATAATAAATATGAGTTTAGTGTTAAAAAATGTCATGCATGTCTGCAAAAGCGTAAACAATCGTATTTACGATTTTTGAATCGCTAAATGCATTGTAAACAAAACAAAAAATGTAAACGATTTAATAAAAAATAAGTACAACAATTCTGGTACTGTTAAAACCATAAAAATATAAACAAGAATAAATCTAAATAAACGTATCAAAACTGTTAATGATTCTGAAGCAGTGAAAAAAAAATTACAATAACGTAAAATGGAAATAGAATAGATGAGTTTTAAATTTAAAATTATTCGAAATGTTTTTGATTCTCATTGAAATTTCGTTTCTTGTTATTGTATATTTTAAACGTTGATTTAAAATACAATGAAGTAAATATAAATTTATAATTTATATTATGATACGTGAAAATTTAAAAATTAACATAAGATAAAACAGAGAAATTGTATTTTGTCATAAATATTATACTATATTCAACATGGTTTGTTTTCAATTAAATGTTTCTATTGATAATTGAAAAAAAATTATTAATTTGGAACAAAGCTCAAATTCTATTTCCATTAAATTTCTTTCGAAATATAATCAAAATGATGTACGATTAACATTTTTACATAAATATTATAAAAACATAAAAATGTATGAGATTCATTATGCAAAAAAATATTTTTCATGTTCTGTCCGTACATCTATACTTCAATAATATAATTTCAATACCGAAATATAAATAATTGTATCGCTCAAAGCTTCATGATATCATTATAATACAAAATATAATATTGAAATGGTGTATTTTTATATCTATGTTTAAAATAATAATTTAATAAATGTATTTCTTATGTATCCCAGTGAAGTTTTGTGTTTGGAGTTTTTTATCATTAGTCGCTTTGTTTAATAAAGTACACGAAAAAACAGAAATATTTACAGTTGGTTTATTTTTAAATTTTATAGGTCAATATTAATGTTTGAAAATATTATATTCAAGTGTATTGTATTTTATATAAAAAAAAAAGAATATAGCCAAAGAGTATTTATACATTGATTATATTCAAAAAATATAGATTTTGCTAATTATAATTACGAAATTTTGTTAATATAACTAAATTGTACAACTTTTTAATAAATCACAATGTATTTTATAATTTTATAGTTTAATAAATAAATTCTAAAGTTTCTATATACAATAATTTTGATGTACAAAAAATAATATGCCTAATAATAGTATTTTCTTGGTGTTCAATTAAAAATTTATCTGAAAAATGAATTAATATTGGACCTATAGTATCAGGCAATATATTTTTAATACATCATTAAAATATTCATATCATCATAAATATTTATAAAAACTTACTTTTTGAAGTCGCTTAGGGTTCGTGCTAAAATTATTCTGATATTATTAACTAATTAAAAATTAAATGTAGACATTTTATAAGATATTTGTCAAAACCACTAATGATTTTTTTTTTTTTTTTTATATAACCACATACGTTTTTCACGAAAAAAAAAAAAGAATGTTGCTTGTAAAAATGTAAAAATGTATGCTACAAACAAAATTGTTAATCAATTTCACAATTCGAAATTAGAATATTAGAATATTGAATAACTGTATAAATAACTATTCATGTATTTTATTGAAATTCGTAATCATAAATCTTATTTAAATAACATGATTATATTGAATTCAATATAAAATACAGTATATTCTTTGAATATTTTCATTTTTAATATTCATGTAACAACTAAGCCGAGAGAAACATTTATATTGGTTGAAATAAAGATTTTCATAATATTCAAATAATATTTAATGAAATTACCATTTAATTAATTGTTGTGATTTATGAGTTCATGTATTTTTTTTCTTTTTAAAACATTTCAATGATAATATAGTATAAAGTTCTTATTTGAAAATTAACTTCGCATTGATATTATAATATACTTTTATTTTTATGAAGATGATTGGTTAAATCGTAAACATATTTTCTTATTTGCTAATCATGTAATTTGTTGAACGTCGGATTGGTTCGTGACACGAAAAATATATTTCTATTATTATAAAATATAGTGTTAATTTTTACTAGTTTTGGTTGTTTGGACAAGAAGTACTACTAAAAAATTTAATTTAAAAAATTTCAGACATATAGTTCGATCAATATAATAATATAATGTCATAAATCATTTTTTCGCTCATTTATTTATTTTTTATTCTTTTTCAAATAGTCGTATAAAATATCCGTATCGGTGGACCATTAATCATACAATCATCAACCCAGGTTTAAAAAACGCCAAAGTAAATTTCAACATTCATCCGTCAGCTGGGTGCTTGGACGCGGTATCGAAAACGATGTTTCGAGTGGAATGCAGTGTTACAGACAAGATGACCACTGAAAAGCTCACCGGCGTATACCGTGTAATTGCTACGTAAGTAGATTATGGGTTTTTATAGGATTGGTAATTTAATTAATTATAAGCTTAATTAAAAAACAGTATTGAAATATAATACAATCGGTTAAGTATAAACAGTATTGAAATAATTTATATTACATTTGAAAATTCAAACAATTTTTCATATAAAATGAACTATAAAAAAACAATTCAAGAATTCTAAGCTACTAAAAATATTATAGAAAAAATATTTAAAAATGTCTTGAAGAATTAAATTAGTTTTTAAAAAAATTCTCTTGGATATCAAATTTAACAAGTAATTACATTTATGACAACAATATAAGGAAATCAATAATACATAACCATTTTAAGGATAAGCTGAAAAAATATATAGCGTTAGAATTATTTTCTTGTTAATTTATTTAGTTCTGTTATTGATATGGGTCCAGCTGTAATAAACTTAATGATAATTATAAAATTAAAATGTTAATCAAATGTAAATTAACGAGCCTTTTAATATTATATCTAAATAAATAATATACCTAAAAATTTAAATAATTAAAAAAAAAATGTCCGTAAAAAGCACAAGTAGATGAATTGTATACATTGAACAGTGTGATCCATTTGACGTGCACGTAATATTATTATTACTTAAAAAATTAATATTTGATGATATTTCCGTAAAAAAGCAATAGCTTTTAATTTAATATAATTCATACTTGAAAATATTTGCTTAACTTTCATATTAACCAGAAACTCACTGAAAACTGATGTTATAATCAATTATCTTTTGAACATTTCTCTTTGAATAGTTATTCATAAATTATAATCATCAAACATAAATTTTATTAAAATTCGATTGATTATAGAATTTTCTTTTTTAAATATAATAAATTTATACAAATTTAAATTATTTTTGTGAATTAACCTTCACCCACTGTGAAATATTGTAGTTCAATAGAGTTTATATAATTTTTCATTTCTTTATTTATTTCATCATTTGACGATATTTGGATTTAGAATTAATTAAAGCAAAACCGCATTTTACAATTTCTTACAATTTCGTACAATAGAATTTAGGTAGTTAAATATTTGTGTTTATTTTAAATATTTAAAATTATTTTCAATGGAATCAATTTACGTACAATTTTTACTCTCGTATAACAATACAACATATTACTCTAGAGTGAACGGTTTTATTGAAATGAATTGATTAAATTAAAGATTCCAAAAATGTATTAAATTAATAAGAATATATATATATATAAGTTAGTACAAAATAACTATCCAAAACTAAATTGACAGAACAAACGTTATAATGGGTTTAGCGTAAAAGAGGTTTTAATGTTATATATAGGTACATGACTTGTCTCTTCGTTTTTTAAAGGTTAGGGGTTACTAAATTCATAAGATTCTCAATAATTGACAGAGAGAATAAAACACAACAAATATACACGAGATTATGGTAAATGATGCAGTCATTTAATTTAAAATAAAAATAGTTTAAATTTAGAACAGTTGAACGAAAACTCAAAATTGCATCTTCATGCTAATTTTGGGTATGGTACATTAACTCTGATGTGTATTATAAATAAAGGTAGTGCTTAATTTACACTATAACCCAATTTTATTTAAACTTGTCATGGAACTTTTATAAACCAACAATAGATAATTATATTATAATAATATTATGAATGTGATTTAAATGTATATATACATAATCGACGTTCAAATTTAAAGGGTATTTCGGCAGACTATTAAATGTTGTATCACGAAAAGAAAATACGAATTTCATAGAAACGTTGGTATATTCTATTGGTGATATTCTATTACCTTGAAAAATCTATTTCGTGATGAATAATTTGGTATATTGTCCATGGAGACGTCATTTCATTGAAATTATATAGCTTGGTGTAACTTCTTGCATTAAATTAAATTTTATAAAATCCCATCTGATTAATTTAATTTAATTTTAAAATATGTAAATGAAAATATTCTCGTAAGGCTAGTTCAGATACATAAAACTCAATCGAATATTCCGTCATAGAGTATTTTTAACTAGGCTCACTTTTAACGATAAATAATAAACAATTATTTGAACAGTATATAAATAAACAATACAAAGTTGAAAAGTCTCAGAATAGTTAATTATAAAAATAAACCGTTTTAATGTGATTCTTTTTTATTTTGAATAGTCTTCCTTGTAGTTCTCTGTATTTTACTCTACACGAATTGAAGTATTATACACCTACTTTCTTAAAGAAAAAAAAAACATTGGTATTAGCATTTAAATTGTGCTACAAGTATTTACAAATTTAAAAATGCCTTTAGTCTTCTAAAATACTCAAGAAATCTGCAAGCCTAAGAGTCTATAACATTCGTGACCTACGGAGAAATAATCTGAAATATTTATACGATTCGATAGCCAACCTTTTAAACAACACGTCACTCTATAGTGATCTATTTTTCAAAAGCTAGACCCGCGTGACATTTAATCTCAACCGACGGGAGTGAAACGATACTAATTCCAAACCAAAATCATCATGCAGCTTTTTTGTTTTTACATATTTTACACTAATCTTTGTTTTAAAAGGTAATCAAGCTCAAACATAATTATTTAAATAACGCACTTTATTTTTCATTGTATTAACGTGTTTCATTAGACACAACATGGTGTACGATACAACCATATTTTTTTATTTATTTTTTTATTTTAATAACTGTTTTTAATCAAAATACATAAATATAGTACCTATTTAAAATTTGATTTATCTTATTATGTAAGCATTGCTTGTGTTGAAGGAAGGGAGTTATTTCTAATTATCAATATATTTTAAAATATTTACAATAGTAATTAGAAATAATGACATAAAACAATTATTAAATACATCTAGTTTCTTAAATTAATTACATTTTAGTTTTTAATAATTGATTAATAAAAAAAATCAAATCATTTGTTGTAGAGTTTAATTTATATTAATATTATTATTTAAACCAGTGTTTCTCAACCTTTTTTATGTCACGTCCCTTTGAGTAGGAATCAATTCTTTAACGCTCCCCTATGTGAAAATTCTATAATTAATGGTATGGGCTGAGAGATAGGAAAGAAGTTGATGGTTTGGAAAATTTTAAAAAAAAATTGAATAATTATCTTATAACTAATGTTTTCATTTATGTTTTATTTTTCATATTTTTTTAATTATAGTACTAGTAAATTAATTAAATTAAATATTTTAAAATAATTTATCAATTTTATTTTATAGTTATAAATACATTTTCAGTTTATTTAGAAAAAATATTACTTTTAAAAAATATTTTAAAATCAAATAAAAAATATTGCTTTTATTGTTTTTGTAGATATTTACCCATGTATTTTTGTAGTAATTTTTTTAAAAAAAAAACACGTTTTTAACAGACTGAATATTACAAGTATAATAACGAAAACTAATACAACATGAGTTGGTCAAATCAAATGGTTTACTAAAAGGTTGGTTAATATAGTTACCTACCTATAACCTATAACCTACCTATAATAAAATATAATGTCCATGCACAATCGGTAAAATTATAAAGATAATAAATTTATCAACAATGAAAGATATGTTATAGTGCATTGCTCAACATATAGTAGGTACCTATTAGTAACTAATAGTTATCATAAAGATTATCAAGTATGAATTATTTTTAAGTCACACCATGTACAACGTTTTTGCGTGAACACGCTTGCCGCCCCTCTACTACCCAAAACTAGTTCACCACCCACCTACCGACCAAAAATAGTTAGATACTTCGCCACCCACTGGGGGCGATATCGCTCCCGTTGAGAACCACTGATTTAAATTAAGATATTTATAAAACTATTATCTATACTATTAAAATATTTAGGTCATACATTTTCAATAAATTTCTGGCCTATAGTTTTTTTTTGTATAATTTATATTTAGATTGTACCTTAAATTTTTGGGTTTAAAAATAGAAGGGTTAAATTGAGATTGAATTTATATAAAACATATACAGTGAAAGTACATTAATTTCTTTATAATTATCTTTAGTAGATATACCCGAATAGTCTTCTTAAGGCAGATATGAATGGCCCAAGAGATTATTAATTTTAGCGTATTATTAGTGGTACCACCCCATATAATTATGCCATATTGTAGGATAGACTGATAAAGTGGAGTATATAAAATTTTTATTATATTTGAAGAGAAACTTTAATGCAGAGAATATAGTATATATACGAGTAATAGTTCTCAGGTGCATAGTGATATGCGATATATAGTAATTTTATCTCAAATTATAATCTAACATTAAATCTAAATATATAATTTTAATTAATCTTTTAATTTTATAATATATTGAACTATCAGTTATAATTCAATCATTAAAAATTGTTATTTCCTGGTTTAGAAACTGTGTAAAATTACATATATAGAATAGGCAATAAAATAATTTTTGTCATAATTTACCGTTAACTTTTTTAAGTTATGTTTTTAATAAATCTATTTAATTCAAAACTTGCTTTGCGAAACACTAGATACCATTAATTATCTAAAAACATAAAACAGCTATTATCTGCGTACGTAACAAATGATCCATCTATATACAAATTACATAAAATGTTTATATACTTTATAAATAGAATCAGACCAAACACACTTCCGTGTAATACAACACAGTTTATACTATATTTTTTATTAATACAATAATTTATTAATATATATTGTGTTTTATTTTTGAGCTTGAAAACCACTTGAAACTTTCACTAACAATTTCAATACCTGGTAGAGAGTTTAATAATTGAATTGGACATTATCAAAGGCTTTAGACAATTCTAAATAAATCACAATAAATTTTCGATCTTCATCAAGAGCATTGCATATGTATTTTGATGCATTAAATACTACATCAATACTTTCTAGTAACTTTTTAAATGCAAACTGATTTTTTTATAAAAATTTATTTTCCTCTAAAAATATAATTAATTTTTTTTTTACTATTTTTTTCTAATACTTTAGCATAATCGATATAGGTATATAGATACCCAGAAATTATTTTTTGAAAATGAGTTTAACAATAGCGACTTTAAAATGGATGGAAAAATACCTTCTTTTAAACTTTTGTTAAAAATAAGTATTAATGGATCTACAACATGTAGTAATTTTATTTAATGATTTTAACTTATATTTTGTGAAATTCCACCAAAGTCACCTCTTTTTGAGAGTTGAACAACTGAAAAACTTTTTCTTTATCATCTTTAGTAAATACATCGTCAAAGTGTTTATTATATCATATGGTTTGGTTTTTTCCCATGTTTATTGTTTTAAATTGCTTACTCAGTTTCCTCCCTATGTTAGCAAAAATTTCATTGAAAGCCTTACATTCTATAATTGATCTCCAACTGTTAATATATCAGTTATTATTATTATATATTGTTATTATTTTTTAATTATTATTTATTTAACTCAGGGGCTGGAACCTAGAGGTTTTTTCGGTTTTGGTTTCGGTTTTTTAAAAGAGTAAGAGTTCTAGAACTGGTCAATTTTGGTTTATTCTGATTATTAGATATCTATTAAAAAATAATATGAAATTATTTATTTATTTTTGTTTAAATTGTAATTGTTTTATTTCATGAAAATAGAAGGTATTATTAATAGTTAAAAAAAATAATTATAACTATATTTGATATATATATATAATGTTATCGAAGCCATCATTTTAAATGGCAAATTTCGAGGTGAAAATATATTATTACCGCGAATCCCTATTATTCCCACAGATGTGCCAATATAATTTATACGCCTTAAATTTCCAATTAGATTGGCATTTGCAATAACTATCAATAAGTTGCAATACCAAACGATGTCTGTTGGTGGCTTAGATTTGAACATGTTTTTCACATGGACAATTATACGTGTCGTGCTCTCGAACCATCCAGTTTGTTTGTGATGGCGAAAGATGGGATAACAAAAAATATTATACACTCTGTTGTTTTTTACTAATATTGTCATAATTTTAATAGATCAATTTTAATAAATTATTGAAAAAATAAAAGTTTGATGATTTTTCATTTTTATATTTCGTCGCCGTTCACAGCACTTTATACCTCTTCCTTACATCCTTATCCTTATCCACACCTTACATGCCTATATTAAATTAGTTATTTTTTTCTAGCAAAATATTCTCTGTAAATAATTTATATGACAAAACAACGTTTGTCGGGTCAGCTAGTATATTAATAAATATACAAAAATAATAATAATAATAATAATATTACAAATTTACTTATTATATGCATTACACTATTATAGTTTACAACATAAAATAATAAAAACATAATAAGATTTGACATTTTTCCTAACCGACAAATTTACAAACAAAATAGTCATTATCATTGTTTTACCAGTCTAAATAATTGACCTAAATCAACCCTTTTATAATTAAGGTTATGGTTACGGTTACGGTTTTTCATTTTTGGAAATAAAGGTTCTAGTTTCAGTTACGGTTCCTAAATTTTAAAGGTTAACCGGTTCTAGTACCAGTTCTTTTCAGTTACGGTTCTGGTCCCTGTCTTAACTTGTACAAATTTAGCAAATATCATAATATATGTTTATATTTAGTATTTAAAAATGAAAAATAAGGTGATTAATTAATTTCAACTAAATATTTTAACAACTAATGTTAAGTATTATTTCGTTAACCATTATTAAAATTATTTTAACAATAGTTATTATATCTGTATAACTTACACGAAAATAATAATATAAATTGATAAAATATTCAACAGAATAAATTAAACTGTATCGCTTTCCTGATAAAATTTACTGATTTTAAATATCCTGGCTTATGGTAACCGACATTAATAATTCAAATAAACACTGTTGCTACTACTTTACTATAAATATGATCTAATCTAAATAATATTCTTTATATTTTTAATAATTTTGAACCATCAACAAGAAATTCAAACGTAAAAGTTTATTAAATTATATTATATAAATTGATTTTTTATTATAAAATAAGCTTAAGCTTAATAAGCTTTTATTACCAAACGTGGGTTGCTTCATATATACACAAAATACAGTATTTTTGATTTAAAACAATTATATTGTTGTTTTTAAAACAAAAAAAACCGTAAAAAATGGTCAACATTTTTATTTTAGCATTGAAAAATATGCTAATATAAAATATCAAAAATATAATATAATTCATATAATTAATTATTGTTGAACTCAACTGAAGCATTTCATATATATACTAAACTTGTTAAATCTGACAAGCTTTATATAATTTACAAATTAAGTAAATTTATATTAAAAATATTTTATAAAAATATTCTATAACACTAGCGCAAAATGTTAGGGGAATTTTAAAGATTAAATACATTATCATAATGTAGTACTTTTTTAATACTACGCTAAGTCTAATTTAATATAAATGTGTAATTTATTCTTCATATATTTAATTTCATACATGGATAAATGAAAAGTCTGATGATTGATGATGTCCCTAAAGAAAGTATAAGTGATATAGATGAATTTTTTGAAGTACGAGAAGACAAGTATTCAGAGTGTATAACATCCAGGAGCTCTTCTGAGGTAATGTATCCAAGTATGGCTAATTAGAAATTAATTAATTATCAAAGATTAGTAAGAGTTTGTCCATCACGATGAATAATCACTTTCTGGGCTCATCAGTATAAATATATATCACAGTACAGTATCGTGCTGTTCGATGAATCGAAAAAAACATTATTTACTCTTTTGACGTTGTGGTACTTATTATAGACGATAACGAACTTTTTTCGACAATAAAATAAAAATAAATGTCTAGTGAATAAGATATATGGTTTCATATCTAATATACTGTTTTATAATAATATTATAAGCTTATTTTTGTCGTGTTATTATAAATGAAAATATGATACAAAATATGATAAAAAACGATTACCGCGCAAATACACGCGTCAATGAATTTTTGTAAAATGTTTTTTATTATTCGTTTATGTTGTGGATTATAATATAGTTCGGCTAGTGAAACGTTGAAAACCATCCGTAGTATAATAAAACCGTAACGAATTCACTCTTGGGAATAGAGTTAGTCAAAATTATAACTGAGAGGTAATGCATTTCTACTATGTACAGATTATAGCACTGCATTTTATTAAATTTCATGATCACACGTACGCGTGTTTAAAAATGCACCTACAAAGTGCACTAAAACTAGAATGATGGAATTAAATATTTAAAAGATTTGTCGATAATTTTATAATCTCGCGGAAGCGAATACGGTTATTTTAATAACTTTGAACATAATTTTACCTCATAAAATACACAACACGTCAGTAAAAACTGTAAATATTATTATGTTTTCCGCATTACAGAACTTCGTGTAATTAAAGTTATAGAGCGATTATTCTCTCGCAAAACGAGGACAGTTTTATTAGACAATAGTCCATATTAAATACAATCAATATTAATGGTTATGGTAACTTTAATGTGAAAATAATTACACAACGTCGTTTTATAATGTCATAATATTGTATCATAAATGATTAGGATAATATAGTCTAGATATAAAAAACGTATAACAAAATAGGCTGTGGCTATATACACATACTCGTATGTTTAAAGTATTTGATTATTTTTTTTTTTTTTTATTAAACAAATTCCTCGGTGACTAGGGGCCATTGGCTACATTTAATTACATATTATTTACATTAAATAGAGGAATATTGAATATATACATAAATAAAGTGGCAAGTAATACAAATTAATAAATAGGGCTGTATCTAGATTTAACATTTATACATTACAGGAGAGTGTAAAATACATTAAAAGAAAATATTATTCTATAATTTTTTTTTTTTTTTTAATTAAAGTTCTGTATCTCTGAGGAATTTTAGAACATTGGTTGTATCGATGTTAAGGTTTTCAGCAAAATGGTGGGTTAGATTATGTTTTTGACGTTGTAGTTTGTACTTTCTGCAATCGGTGAGGTGTGTTTAACTGTCATAGGATCGTTGCAGGTCGAGCATATGGGTGGATCTTTTTTCTTCATTAGGAAAGCATGAGTTAATCTGGTATAACCTATTCTGAGCCTATTGATTACTACATCTTCTTTTCTTGTGGGGGTGTTGTTAGACCAAGGGAGAATATGATTTTTAATTTCATTTAATTTAGTGTTAGATGATTTCCATTCATTTTGCCAGATATTAAGGATTGTTTTTTTAATTATTTGTTTGATTTCGGCAATTGAATACACTTGACATTGGATTTCATTTGGTGATACAATGGCCTCTTTAGCAAGTTTATCAGCTCTTTCGTTTCCGGTGATATTTGTATGGCTTGGTATCCAAATTATTTTTATGATTATGTTTTCTTTTTGTAATGTATATATTTGATTCTAGATTGTTCTTGCTATCTCTTTTGGTCTAATGGAGTTTTGGATACTCTTAAGGGTACTAAGAGAATCACTAAATATTATGGCTTTTTGAATATTTTTATTTTTGATAGGGTCTAGAGCTTGAATTATGGCTTGTGCTTCTTCGGTGTATATGGAACATTCATTTGTCAGTCTTAACATTATTTCAGTATCTTGGCATGTCACTATTTGATTATTATATTTGAATAGAACAAACAATTTAAATATATTTTTTATATAAATCACAATGAAACAATATAATATATCTATATATATATAACAAAATGCTATACAAAATATTTATAAATATACAATACTATACAAATATGTATTCAAAACAAGAGTAAGCAAACTTATTATTTTTTACGTAAAAGATAATTAATTTGATCGATTTAGTCATAAAGATTTCTCTTGGCTGCAAATAGTCTTAAGAATTATAAAAATATATCATCATTTTTTATTAATTATTAAAAATATATTATAGTTTTTTTTTATTACTCAATAAATAATCCTTGTATATAGTGGAAACATTTCCCTTTTTATAATTTCATTATAAAGGTATTTAAATGTAAAACACATATTTTTGTTTTTCACTACTATCAAATACATTATTAAACTTAGATGAAATGTTTAAAACTTTGTAATCGTATCACATGAGCTACATAAAATAAAATACTTTTACTACATATTTTATTATAAAGTATTCGCATTTCATGTTAATTAATAAAAGTCTTAGATTTTGTGGATTGTTATTGTTGTGTAACGACAATTAAATATAACAAACTATTATGTGATGACAGCGTTATACTATTGTAAAATTAGTGTTTTTAAAGATACATTTTTAAATGAAAAAAGAAACAACCTTTAAATCAATGTTCCTTTAAAATGATCGATTACATGTTTTATACAATATTTAAAAAGTACAATGTATGTTACAGTTGGTGTCGATAAGAGTAGCAGAACTCGAAGTTATATCTGAATACAAAGGGGAAGAACGCGTGTCATTACATACCGATCCTATAGTACTGGACTTAAATTGGCACAAAATGGAGTGAGTGAAAACAAAGCAAAATAATAACACAATATTATTATCGAAACGTATTTTATTATGCGTTTGGGGTGAAATTAGTAGACAAAAATTGAATGTAATGCCCAATAATTTTGATCGACTTAAATTAAAACTCACAAATTTAGTGCTTTGTAATTATTAGTATCATACTATCAATTACATAAATGTTATAGGCTATATTATATGAAATGATAAAAACTTGCAAGAACATTTGTGAAAACCTTTTAAATGACATAAATATAAAAAAACTACGTTTCTTATATATAATTTTAGTTCAGTGTATGTTTAATATAAAAAAAAAAAATAATCAGAAAAATTTTATCCATTTACATAATTCTTACTAATACCAAAATAATTTTAAAATTAATTTGAATGATTTACTGCTTTTATCATTAACAGTTATTGTTAAATATTACATTTGCGACTACAACTACACAAACGTTTTGTATAAATATTAAGATGAATAACGACATTTGGCAAATGTTAGACATTTTCAGTTAAATTTGGAATATAGACGTTCAACTTTTGGTGTGTGGTGTATCGTGTCATACGTAAAGTTTTTCGATGTTTATAGATATGATATTGTTCACACAATAGCTGAAGGAAAAATTATGTTTGAGTAGAAACGTATAATAATTGTTTAATGTATTATTTAATCAAATGGTGATCCATATAATATTATTAGAGGTAATATCTGGGGTACTTTAGATTAAATTGTAAGGCAAAGTGTATATCAAAGAAGTGTAGTTGTAGATCCTCAAAATGTTTATGTAACTCAAAATGTCATAATACTTTATCTTATTGCAATAAATAATTCATAATATCAAATAAAATTATTTATGGTAAATGTATTAACCCTTTGAATGCCGAATTAATTTATAAATATTATTTCATCATTATTCATCTTTTTTTACAAAATGCCAACATTCACCAGTGAATAATGTTTACATCTAAGAAGTAATTGAAAATCACCAGAAATTTTGGTGAATTTCAGCATTCATCAAATGTCGTCATTCCTTAATTATATAATTTACAGTTCATCCATATTTTATGTCTACACATCATAATATGGTGTTTATAATGTAATAAAATGCATTGGTTTTATATATTTTTTTTTTTTTTGCCTGCCAATAATTTTTTTTAACAAAAAATAGAACAGAAATATTACCCACAGTAAAATTATTAACTCCAAAACACTATATTAAGAACGTGACTTTTTTTTATTTTATCGTGGGACATTAAATTAACATTAATTTATATACTCTATAAAAAAACAAAAACGTATTTAAAATATATTATTTAATTTTCTTATAAGGTAGGAAACCAGTGGAGTTAATAAATTAATAGTATAATTTATTACTGAGATGGATTGAATGTTGAGGAGAAATAGTCTAGAAAAGGTAAAAAAGAAAAAAAAGGAGTTGTCTACTAAGAAGAAGAGGAAAGCGGCTTGAAATCATATGGATACATTTGAATGTATAAAGGGGAAAGAGTTAATACAATTTTCGAGTTAATGTTAGAGAAGTGGACTATGCCTTATATTCGAAGGCACGTAAATGCGGCAGTCAGAAAGCAGTTGCAGCCTGGAAATGTTTAAATCTCTAAGCCGCAATGAGTGCTGGTGGATAGCGGGAAATAAGTTTCTATGTGCTGAGTAACATCATAGTCAGGTGATAAAGGAGACAGTTTCGATGATTGATTAACATTTTATAATGGTGCTCCACAAGAAACCAAAAAGAGACGGTAAGAAGATATCAGAAGATGGTGTTTTAAAAAGGGAAAATGGGCTATACGATTTAGACGAAAACGCTAGATATAGGTGGACTCGCAACGCGTTCGGTAAGTTGTTAACAGACACGTAAGCAAATTGCGTTTCACGTGGAGCTCAGTGCTTAGTTTTGCCAGAACGTATTGGAAAATCGGTGTCGGGCAAGGCCGTGACGAGGAATTGGGGAGGGTTAAGTTTCAGATCGCCTTGAATTTTTTTCCTTAAATATAATTTAATGATTTCAAAAAATACCTTGAACCCCCTTCACCTCCAGTAAAAAGTCGATTTGTCGGGTTTGAACACCGTGTGAATTGTTCCGTTTTCTTGTTTTCCGGTGTCACAAGGATGGGCGCGTGCGTCCGGGAAACGGTACACTTCATCAACGCCGGGACGGGCGCCGTGCACGTAACGTGGACGCCGGACGAAGAAGACGACGCCGCCACCGGCACCACCATGACCGTGGACCCTGGGCGGTTCGACGTGACGACGGACAGGGTTGCGGTGGACGTGTACGTCCGTGCCGCGCGCCCGGGACGGTTTCGTCGCGCGCTGAGGTTCCGGGCCGTCAACCGGGACGGTGACGCGCGCGACGTGGTGGTGTACGTGCGCGGCACCGCGGAAACGGCACCGGAAGTGCACGCCTGGCCCGCGTTCGCGTCCACGTGCCTCGGCCCGGCGTGCACCGGTGTGCCACGCGCGTACCCCGTTCGTTTCCGGGTGAAGTCGTCGTCCGGCCCGTTCCACGTGCGCAGACGGGTGTACGAGTGCGACGCTTCGGGCGCGTGGAGTCCGCGAACCGACGGCACGCACACTTTCGGCCCGTTCGGTCCGGCAACGACGACGTTGAACCTCCCGACTCCGGTGGCGACCCAGGTGAGCGGAAATAAACGGGTGGGCCGCGACAGTTGGACGAGGAGGTGAAGACGGTTTTCCATTCGTTCGTTAAAAATTAATTACATTAAGTGGAAAGCGAACGAACGAATAAGAAATAAAATTAAAAACACAAAAAACTAATCGGGGAACGAGTTGAAACGCGGCCGGCGGGTAAATTAAACGTTCTGTAACAGCGCACAAGCAAAAACAAAAGTGTATGGGCACGATTTGATTTTTCGCGGCCGCTTGCTCGACGAGAAGAAAAATGCACACTTATATTTAACTTTTCCGGAAACCGCGTTTCGCCCTCGACAATATTTCAACCCGTCGCAATATTATTATATTTGTTGAAGTTACAGAACACTTATATTGTGCTGCTTGCTCCTTTTGCCGTTTTGCGGTTCACGTGTAATAAAATACCAGTAACTTAGAACATTGATCCAATATCGATTTGTATTTCTATTTTTTCTATATATCTTCACTCCATCTTAATTAACAAAATAATATGTTGGACGCAATTGCTATAAATCAAAATTGGGAAGGGCTTGAGTACGATTACTTTATTTCCATTGGACGCAGAGGTGGAACTAGGAATTTTTACTCCCGGAGAAAATGTTAAAAATACGCCCTATCATAAATCAATAATCAAATACTCTTCTTGAGAATTTTTTTCTAATAATTAATATACAATCATACTTATTGAATTTTAACCTAATATCAGTATTTAACAAAGTTAAAAAGCATCTATTAATAAATATAAAAAATATTCGAATAGTTAATTATATATTAATTAATAATTATTTTAAAAATAATTAAAAAAATTACACCTTCTAAAATTTTACTCCCGAGAATGAATCCCCGTCTTCCACCCCTAGTTCTGCCTCTGATTGGATGTACAATATATTGTCTTATTTTTAATACAATTCATATATAATACTATTGAAACACTTATTGCTCAGTGTTCATGAAAATGAATAGATACATATTTTTATTTCAACATTTCTATGAATAATATTTACTGGCTATGATTTCTTTCTATCGGTATTCATATAAAATTATATGTATCGTCAACTAAATTATAAATACTTCGAATGCATCGAATTAAAAACAAATACAGAAGAAATAAAATTTAAATATAATTTTATTTAGTTTAAATTTAAATTTAAATCATTTGTTAAAAAACAAAATAAAACAAAATCTTCAAATATTATTTGAAATATCGTATAATATACAATTATTACGCGTTAAAACTATAATTTTATGTGTTTTATTTTATTCATAGTGCATTAATAAATCATAAAATCTATTGTACTTTTTTTTACGGTATTATAAAACTCGAATTCTCCCAAGGGCATTTTGGAAAAATTGATTTATTGAACATTCGAAGACGTTAAACGAAAATATTTGACCTTGTGTATTCAACATTGTTGTATATAGTTTCATTCTATACATTATTCTCTTGGTGCGATTACTGTAAAGCGCAAGAAATATAACGTAATAATCCAACGAATATCTCAATCGGGAATAATATTAAAAAAAAAAAAAAAAAACATAATAAGGCGAATAAACGTATAAGTTCAGTGTTATATCTGATGACATGCATAATTTATTAGAAATAATTTCGCCGACAGACTGTAATAATATAATATTGACGTGCCCTCAAACGAACACTTTGTATACTATATTATGATTTCCGATGAATTCTTAATGCGTTTACGTAAAACGTAGCAGCAGACGAAATCCTGAATTTGTATTCGTGAATATCTTATATTCGTTATATTTCACGACTCATGGCTATTAATAATTGAACGCCACGCTATTATATGCGCGGGAAAGTATTGAATTGAATAGTAATAACAAGGATATCAGAACGGAGAGAACCGTTTTATGACGCGTTATTAACGTGGGGCGTTTGGAAAACGATACCGTGTTCGGCTAAACAGCCATAATAATTATTATGCATAAAGTCAGAATCACTTCGCATGCGAGATTATCCGCGCGTGCTAAATAAATAATCCGGAATATCTTGGCGTTAAATCTCTAGGCGACGGGTAGGAAGTAATTGTGTGCAAGTGCGTGGTGCAATTAATTTTCAGGGGGCGATTCTTTATTTATTATTAATCATCGTCGTGAGCAGGTGCACATTGCTATATTTGCATTTCTACAGCACTGTGAACTATGTTATATAAGATTGATTAAGAAAACGAGAAAAATTTAAATAACTGTCATAGAAGTAAAAAAAAATTAAACAATTCTAGTATAGAAAATATAATGTACGTTCTATATGCCGTTAAGAGTCCATACGTTAAAATTAATATCCAAAAAAAAAATGGTGTCCATTAGTGCTAATTTTTTGAAATCGAATGCCGACATATGCATGGTTTTTATATTAATCACTTTTAAAATGAAAATCGTGCGGTCACTGTGGTCAGTAAAAGACAGATGACGATTTCGGATTTGTTGACAACTTGTCGGACAAGTCATGTTTCCATTTTGCAGGAACGTACAAACGAACACCATATTGTAACATTTTATGACGTGATATTTTCAATCTTTCGGCTGTTGAAAATTAGCATTAAATTTATTTTCAATAAAAAAATTAAAATCAAAATTATGTGAATGTACATTTTTCAATTTCCATTTATTAAATGTTTCCCATTTTCTGGAAGACGAACATCATTATACTGCTACAATTACGGATCACGTCAACAGTAATAATATTCGTCTCGTGTCTTTTAAGGAGACCGGCATGATATCATACCAATTAGCGGAATGGATGTTCGGCGAGTCAAGGACAGTGTACACGCAGGGCATGACTTACGTCGAGCCGCCGGACGTGGTGCGACTGAACATCGAAGTTATTATCATCGACAGGTCCCTGTACAGAGGCGTATCACACAGTCACAAAGGGATTCGATTGCTGAACAATATGCAATGCGATTTTGCCTACTCCTGGGGCACTCCATGGGGATCCGACTCTAATAATATGCACTGCGTGCTAGAGCCCACCAATGGGACGGTCAACAGCAAAGGGTCCGTCGAATTCGAACTGATCATCACCCCCAGGACAACCGTAAGAATTGTATACAAGCCGTTACCATCATCTTCAATCAACTACTAGTCCCTACCCTTCGATCGCAACGGTGCACCATAGGGTTTCGTTCTTCGGGGGGCGTCTGATTCAAACCGCAAAATTATAGATACGCACAAAAGCCAAAATACGCAAAATACATGCGTTGGTACAAGTGATATAATTGACGATAACTCGATCGCTTGTTAAAATCAAGACCGCTCCTTTTCATGGATGATATTTTACACTTCACATAAATGAAATAGTATCCATTTCATTATTATAACTTATAGAAATCTAATACTGTTATTAGTTATTATGAGAAGCAGCATATCATCAATATCATTATTATCTAAAATTAATTCATCGATTTCAAATAGTGACTTCTACTTCTCAGTGGATATTCAAAGATGTTAAATTTCCGAATTTCCAACAGCACTTCTTAAGTAGTTTTACTTTTCTTTTCCTATTATTTTTTTATTTTCATCTTTTAACTAACAAACGTTGACCTTATATAATGCAACAGGCAACGTTGAAATATGAACAATTGGTTGAAAGAAATTAATATCATTGTTAATCCATAGCGTCTAAACATTTTTCAAATTAAAACGTTAAATTATTATCATTTGATTGTACCAATAAAGTGAGACCGGACAAGCTGAAAAATGATATACAAAAATTACAGATTATGAAAAAATACAACGAAATTTGTACATGAGTAAAATCATTTTTACCGGTGAAATTTATTTATGCAATACTTTTTTACAAAAATTGTTTTGTTTTCTTGCTCTCTCTGTGTACATTTTTATTTCTATTTCGTTGAAAAAAAAAAATTATAACAATCGCCACTTAGTGCTGTGTCACGACGCCCTCCATTCCCGAAACATCCCCTTTGGGTGTGCTATTGCCCCTCGAGTACGAGCGAGTATATCGCGTTATGATCTACTTCACGGTCTGCGCGTTATTTCAGGGACACTTGTGCAACTATTGGATACCGTGTTTCGTACAGTGCGACGCACTCACGCCTCGTCAACTCCGTGTCGAATGCATAGTGGCAGATTTCAGTGCCACAATCACATACGTCGACGAGTATGACAGGCAACGGACCGCCGAGTGGCACGAAAAGTACTGCAACGCAGAGCACAGTTTTTTTTTTTTCTTTTTTTTACAGCATACACCCTCCTCCCGCTGTTTGCTTCAGACATTCTATTCATTTTTAAGGCAGTAAATGGAAATAAATTAGAAAATAAAATATTGTTTGGTTCATTTTACTTAAACATTATTTTTAAAAAATTATATTTTAGTTGAGGGTGTGGTGATTTAAGAGGAAACTGTTCATAAGAGGAAGTATCGTCTTTCTGATGACTTTCTAACATTAATCACTGTTTCCCCATTTACGAGTCATCAGAAATCATGACAAATCTTATAAGACTATATAAATTATTTTTTTGTTTGCTTATTGGTGTATTAATTTAAGAATATTGACTATTTAATCATTTTTATATAATTTTATATTGTTTTTCATTCAGTCTAACGAGACACACATTCAATGTGCCTAGAAACAATACATTTTATAACATTTTTATATAATACTTAGGTATATAATATAAGATGAACGTTAAAAGAAAATAATGGGACACGAATAATTGCAGTGAAATTATTATTATACTGTATTTTTATTATTACTACTGAACGGCTAGATTTTTTGTAGAAATTGTAATAACGCGAACTTGTAAAAGTCTGACGGTCACCATACAAAATTATAATCACGCAGGCCTTCCTTAACTACACTGTTTGGGCTGAGAAACATTAGTCGTGCATTATTCGAACTCGAAATCATATCTTTACAACCATAATCTAAAATATTATAACTGATTCCTTATATTAGATCAAAAAATTCAGTGACGTACGATATTAAATTTATTTCAACAATGCGGTTACAATAACGGATTTGGTTCATTAATTGTATGCATATATATATATATTATTTTTTTTTTTGATCGGTACATGGTTTTATGTGAAGTTAGTTAATTGTAGTAGTTATAGATGGGCAATTCTATACTAATCGGAAATTTGTTGTGACTTAGCTTTTATGTACACACTATATAATTGATAATTTTCAACTATCAACGTTTGATAATTACTCTCTTAGTTGAAAAGTTTCAGTTTCGAAACAGTATGGTTCTTAAATGAAATTATGTAAAATCGATCATATTACTAATGGGGAGATGAAAACACTTTTTGCGTTGGTGTATTGTTTTTCGTACAATATTGATTTGTTGAACCAATTAAGAATTAATCAATTAACTCAATGATTTCTAATGTTGTATATTAATTAGATTCGACGTATGTTTTATAAATACTCAGAAATAAGAAATAGTTTATCGTACAAGTATATACCTAATAATTATAATAATAATAATAAAATTAAATTAATGTTAAATTTAATTTATGTATACGTCTTTGACTGAATGTCTATAAATAGAAAACTGACTCTATGAATAGGTTGAACTTAAGTGTTTAATTTTCTTGATTATGTTTGATTTAGTGTAAATCAATGGATACTCGATAATGGTGTAGACGAAATCGATGAAATTGGAAATGCAGAGTATTTAGAATCCGAAAATGGTTCATTTTCGACGACAAAGTCTTTAAGCAATTTAGAAGAGGAGAATATTTTGCGAAAAATCACAGAGTAATAATAAATATAAAAATATCTATTAATTTGTGTTTGAAGAGTTTTAAGAATACCGGTAGTAATAATGCAACTAACGACATTTAATATCCCTGCGTTTAGAGCTATAAATTAGATATTTTTTTTTTATTATTATTAAAAAAACGTTTCCGATAAGTATAAATGAACTTCAAACGACTATTTTTTGCTTACTTTCCGTGAAGTCTGAATAATATGCCGGATACGATTGACCCGAAAAACGGTGTCTAAAAACGGCCACTGCATCGCATAAACCCGCGCGATCCCGTAATTATAAACGCACAAATGTAGCATTCTAGGGAACACGTGAATACGAAATTCTCGAGTTTGCTCGCCGTAATTTTACCGACGTCGTACAAAACGATCTGTACCTCTGTGTTAGAAGTCCAATAACGGATGATGGACGCGCGTAAAAATGTTCGAATCTACCCACGCGTAAAGCTAAAACTGACTGGAGGACGCGACGGTGGTCGTGTGGTGCTCGCAGGTCGGAAGACCACCGGCAGCAGCCTGCGAAAAGGCCTTTTGCGGGACGGCCAAGACGTGAAACACGCGTACGGTCACCGGCGATGGACAATGGTGGACACCGAGAGTCCGACTTACCGGTAATGGCGTTCGAAGACGTCGAATGCAACACAGGTACGGGTAATAATCGTGTACACGGGTGGGTGCCGGGTGCATTGGCTTTCACACGTACATCCGTTGTTGTTGTTTAGCCGTGGAACGACGCGTGACCATCCGGAACAATGCGGAAACCGTTTGCCGGGTGAGGTCCACAGTGCTCGGTCGCGGCGGTCAGCCGTCAATGGACGGAACATACGGTGAGTACCGGTACGCACGTGCAGCAAACAGCGGCCGACGGCGATCCGTGGCCACGTCTCCCGTTTGATTCGAATCGATAGAAATATTGTTCATCGATAACCGCGAAATCCGAAATCGAATCGGGATCGTAATGACTCGAGTCCGGAGACGGGGAAAAGGGACCCGGTAGGTCGAGATGGATAATCGCGTGACCCTCGAATGATCGCTAATTCGATCGCGATTTCTCAAAAAACTCAAACAATCGTGCACGACCGTGTAAAGCAATGATTTCGCGTACCCCTTAAACTGTATCGTATTCGTGACTGTCACTGATAGAATGCACACGCACAACGGCATCAAACTATTTCGTTTGAACACAATGTGAACGTTTTGTCGTGCATTTGCCCCGAAACAATGTTGTTGTATAACCGTATAATTTTGACGTGATTCATTAGAATACGTTCTCTCCCATACAACTCGTAAGCTGTAACTACAATCATGAACTTAGCATAACTATCTTTGTACGGTTGAAACTTCCCGTCGAATGACAAGTTGTAGATTAATATTTAACCGTGTCCCTAACTTCATACCATGTGAATTATCCACTTATCCAACGCGCATAATTACCTGACAAACTCGAGTGTAATAACATGTTGTTGTAGTGGTGTACAATAAAACGTGTAACCAGACCTGAAATTAGAATAATATGACGTGCAATCACAAACATTATTGTTTACTTTAGACTTATAAATTATTTAATTTTTGTTTGAAATTTAAGCATGGTATCCATTGGATAACTATTTGATAAATATATAATTCTACATTGTTCCATGAACAATTTTTTAAAAATTTTGTACACAGGGATTGTATGGAAACCAAGGTCATAAGAAACGTATAAAAGGTAGAGACGTTTGGTTAAAGAAACAGTTAGATACAGGAACGGGTGAATGATATATATGAATAATTCTTAATACTCGTAATCTGAAATCAATGCTTTATTGATTTCAAACATCGATTATGAAATAAAAAGGGTAGCTAAACCAGACTTAATGTTTAAAGATACATTGATCCAATGTATTTGATTACTACCTAATAATTCGTAATCCGGTAGGTTAAACAGACTTTAAGTAAAACCATTTAACTTGTATTAATTAATTTGATATCAGCAGTAAAAATTATAATCATGCTTCATTATACTCATATCCATTTTATGCTTAAAGACCTTATAGTTAATATGTTTAGGCAATAAAATAACAAATATGGTTTTATCAAAATTCGTATAAATATTTAGATAACACAATGGATTTCTTTGTAATATTCGATTTCGTCAACATTTTATATTATATTAAATTTGTTTGCGTCTTTTGTAAGGTTTTTTTTTTTTTTGCTTACTATATAAACAACATATGAAAAATGTATGAAATTCACAAAAATACATTAAAACTATTTAACATTTATATATATATATATATATGTATCATATTAACATAGGGATGTTTAAATTGAGAATAAATTTGAATCTAGAATAAATTAAAAGCAATAAACAACTGAATCAGAACACTTCAAATAGTATATACAACATTAAAGTTAGTTTAATTCTTGGTACAATAAATTATTTAAATTAAGCTAATTATTGTTTAACTCTCAATGTTGATATTGAAAATATTTCATAATATTAACAGCTAAATTTACATATTATTCAGCATGGATCAATGATAATTTTTCAAACCAAAAGTATATATATACTTATATATATTATATGACGAGTTATAAAGATACATATTATTCTATGTTGTCTACAGAAGATATTTGATGTTCAAATAAAAAATTAGTTCATTAAAAAGCAATTTTGGGCGGTACTCCTTTCGCCCAAAAATGACCTTCCTCTTTTTGCCCACGTCCTCTTTTGGACCAAAAATGAAAAATCAGTTTCCTCTTTTCGCCCAAAAATAATTTTATTCTTTTCGCCCATGGTTTCACGTTTTACATTTTGGAAACCACTGTCTCAAAATTAATAATTTTTAAAAAAATCATATAATAATTAAATAAAAAAATAGAAAAATATATAATTATTAATAATAATTAATAACAATTTAATAAGTGTTAAAAATAAGTATTTAAAATAGTGTTATCGGTGTAAAATAACTAATAAGTAATTTTATCAGGTTATTACTTAAATAAATAGTTTGTTTTGTTGTTGTAAAATAATACAAATATTCATATTAATTATGACTTTTAAGTAATTATAACGTTTATTAAAGTGTTTTAAACTACATATTTCGATAGAAGAGTCGACACATTTATACACTTTTCTCGACTGACTATATTAATAACAATCAAAAACGTAATTTTATCGAATATCAAATATGATTTTTTAAAAATTATTAATTTTGAGAAAGTGGTTTCTAAAATGTAAAACATGAAACCATGGGCGAAAAGAATACAATTATTTTTTGGCGAAAAGAGGAAACTGTTTTTTTATTTTTGGTCTAAAAGACGACTTGGGTAAAAAGAGGAAGGTCATTTTTGGGCGAAAAGAGTTCCACCCGCAATTTTATTTATTTTAATCCTGAATGACAACAGTAATGATGGAGATATAAAATTAAAACGATCGACATCAAAATAATCTGATTAGAGTATTGAGAATAAGAGCGAAAATAATATGTCACTATAGTTTTAGACGGGTATATTGCATGAAATATATTTTTTTTTTATGTGACAACTAACCGAAATTCGATCCATTTGATTTATTATTTACAAGATATATTATTATAAGAATCATAATTGAAAATAATTATAACAAGATCTTAATTACATTTCGTAAAGGTACCGTGAATTATCGTATTGTTCTACATTTTATGATTTAATAGAGTAATAATGTGTTGTTTACATCATTAGTACATAATGTATAATACTAAACTTTTAAAACACAGAGAAAAATATTTTTAAAATTAAAATGATTAGCACAAACATGAAAAATTAATGATTAGTATAATTATTCCACATTCCAACCGTATGTCCTTTTTTTACTAAAATTAATAATAATATGAAGTTCACTATTTTCATTCATTCCATGACGTTTATTCACATATAACAATAAATAATATCTTCACTGTAGTGTGTGTGTGTATGGGCATAATTTAGATACTTAATTAATTAATGATACCATCTTAACGTGTCACAGTGTCATATGAATTTATGTATAATTTTATAATACTGTGGGTTTTGTATAAATGCATTCATATTTTCACAGTTGCAGAGTTGCAGAAATTAGTTGGTTTAATTTTGTGATTACATCTACGAATAAGTTAGTATCACCATTCGATTTCAGCTATCACACTTCTGAATAAAAATAATTCGATATTTCAAATCTTTATAACAATATCATGTTTCTTCAATGATATCGTAATATATGTGTTAACACTACGTAATAGCAATTTGAAATACAATTATCACAAATAAATAATAGCTCATGTGAAAGAAGAAAATAAAAAAAAGCTTTTCAAAACATTTTATGTGAAACTAATTAATTTATAGAAGATTTTTTGATTGAAGATATTTTTTTATTTTTTTTGCATACGTGCAGTAAAAAAACAAGCTAGAATAAATTATTCATGAAAGTCAAATCTGACAGTAGTCACAATGAAATGTTATTTTTCATCACGTTATATTGCTATGAATAATAATGATAATATATTAAACAAACAACTCCCCGAGATTATAGAAGTTAAGCTTAACTCCATGAACTTTAATTACATCAGAGTAATATACAGCAAACCGATTTCTACGGAACACTGTACTATTTTTTTTTTATGCTCCTCGAAAGTTATTAATTATACGTGCCTCTAGCTGCTGATAAGTGTTTAATTATTGATTACGGAAAAAAAAAGTTAATAGTAATGAAATGTCCATCAAATACGTGTATAAAACAACAAAACATTTTTAACCATTACTAACACGCTGTTATTTTAATTGATTTAAAACAATAACGCATTGTATCTAGTCGAATAATAAAATAATAATAACAATATTATGTTTGGTTAGATTAGTTCAGTTTCTTAGTTATAATAAGAACAAATAATGCACACTACTGACTTCGTCTGGCTTAAAATATCTACATTGACTTTGTATTAGAGTATTATTTTTATTAGAGCTCCTCGACATTACGAATTTTATTTTTTTTCAATATTATTGTCATTTGATAAGACGTACTCAGTACTAATGGCTTTTTTGCAAAACGTACAGTGACCGTGTAAATAATTCACGGACGATAATAAAATCATCGTTTGTAATATTCTAGCCGGACACACAGTAGAGTGTGCGGAATTGGTGCCCTTGGGAAGGAAACGTTGCTGCAGGATATGGATAGAAAGGGACGACGAGGCGTTATCCGGAAATGAAGAGCTCGAGGTGTCTGTAAGGGTGCTGACCACGGCTTGGGGCCAGTACGAGGACACGGTGTCCATCGAATTACAAGTAGGCACCGAGATCCTGCCGGAACTCCGTATACCGATCGTTGTCCGAGTCATAACGGCGCCCTTGGAATTTCCCCTAGCCGTGGACCGTAGCCAACCGACCGTCAAGTAAGTCGACATCGATCAAAACACGGTTGATGAGTCAAGTTGCTGAAACGTGACAAGAATTTCGGTAGCTGGAACCCACCTAGGTGCAATGGTTAAAAATAAACTAAACGCAATTAGAACATCCCGATCGAACGTTAACGTATAATATTGATTATAGAAAAAAAAAATAACAATATTAAAAAATAATAATCACCCATAATTTCAATTAAATACCATTGTGGAATAATTGAAAATTTTAATTCCACGATAAAGACATAAATTGAAAACGAATATTTGGGATTGAAATTTTAGTTCTGTAGTTTGCTGTTCATCCATGGTTTAGTACCTATTTTTAGCTCATCGATTTTAGAAAATTAGCACTATTATCGAGTGAAACTAGGCATTCGGAGATCGATGATTTCTTAAAAACAAACCACGAGAATCTTATCGCGTTAATAAATACACCGTTATTCGAACGGCTGATATATTTTTTTTTTTCAAAAATCCCCTCTGTCGCACGCATCAGATGAATGTCCGTGAGAATCCAACTGCCGTAGAGATTTTTGTTGATTTAAAAATAAAAAATAAAACAATATAATGCATACTGATCGCCATCTGTTCATAATATGGAAACTTTTGCAGTCTTTACCTTTTTTTTCGCAAAAAACAACTGTCGACCCGTTGAATAAGCTTACCATATCATAATTTAAAATAATTATGTCACTCTTATAAACCGTATTTTATGTTTGATGGTACATTATTTGGTTTTTCAGTGGTTTTTTTTTTTCTTTTTGTGTTCCGTTGAGATAAGCTGAATATATACATATACGATAGTTAAGTTTCATTTAATCTTCAAATAAAAGCTTTTTCCAGATGTGATATTATCATACTCATTTCTAATGTTGACTTTATCCTCAATGGCGTATATATAAAAGGGTGGTTGTGATTCGTGATTATATATATATATATATATATTTAATCTCCAATCCAGTAAAATGTATTACTATCAAACCAAATTCACAAAGAGTTTAATGAAAAAAAAAATATATTATTTTGATTATATTAGCTGACAAAGAAGGACACGTATACGGAAATATAAATTTTGACCTTGTTTGGTATATGTATGCACATAAAGTATTCTTTTTCTAGAGTGTTAATATTTGAAATCATAAATTAATAATTAATAAGTCGTTGAACACAAATAGCTATTCGGAAAAAAGAATGCAATCAAATAAAATTTTAACAGAGGAATAAACAAAGAGTGCGCAAAAAATTATGAACTCCATTTTATACTAATATTTGCAATCAAATCAATATGATTATTTCGTTTATTTCTTTCAATCATAACTTTCTCAAGGAAAATATTAATTAACGGAAAAATAGATATTTTTGGTAAATAAAAATAGCACCTTTCAAATGAAAACGTGATATAAGTAAATGTTTTATTTTATACAAATAAAATATAACCCAAACATAAAATCAATAGGTATATATTTAATTGGAAATCTTCAATGATATAAGATCTCGAAAGAGATTATTTTTCAAGGAACAAATATACAACCTACTCTAAAATATATATGTAGGTGTTATTGGAAAAAGTTGTGTATTTTATTTTCCAATTAGTTTTCAGTATTTTTTGGCGATTTCCCGGATTACGATCCGTAAATACCAAATATAACCTCTTTTAGATAATTTTTGCATCCAATTTCCCATTTATACAGGGTTCGTATGAAACTTTTGAAATAATCCCTTCCAAAAAGTATTAATATATATAATATAGAGTAACTATATTAAGAAAATAAAAAAAAAGGAACAGCTGTTACTTCCCCCCCCCCAAAAAAAAAAACCCTCATTCTTATACTTCACACATATGCATACAAACCTCGAGAGTTAAAGTTCAAATCTGTCATGTCATAAACAATTATTTTCTTTTTACTTTACCCTTTTTTAGTAAAATAACCTAAATAATAAAATTTTTCTTTTAATTATTCATCATACAACAACACAATGTAACATTTCAGAATTATTATAATTTTTTAAATAGTTAAAAAAATTAATTTTTAATATTAAAATTAAAGTATTAAACAGTGTATTGTTACATAAAACGACTCTTAAATTTTTTTAACAAGAATTAGGAAAATTATACACTATCAGCAATCTCCATTATTTATGAATTTTGTAAACCTTCTTCTATACATTCCATTTTTTTTTTGTACTTTTCGGAAAAACTTATTGAATTTAACAATTTCGGTTGTTTCAAAAAAAAATTCATAAAATTGTGAACAAGTTAAGTTTTTAAAGTTGTTTGGTAATTATTATCGATCTAAGGGTTTCGACATTAAAATACATGATATAATAAATAATATGGAAATAACGAGATTAAAACGGGACAATCTTCTGAAAACGGGAAAAAAGCGTCCCATTTGGAGTTTGTGGGGACAACGGAACGTGATGATTAAAAAAGGGACAATCCCGTTTTAAACGGGACGTCTGGTTATCCAAATATACTACCGAAAACATATTGGATGATCAATACATTCTTCGTTTTACTTATAATGTATTATGTATACAGTGTCTAAAAAGTTTGAAAAACTAAAATATCTTTAGAATAAATCACACATCTGTACTTACGACGTCGTGTGTTGATCAATTATTGATTTATTTAAAATATAATTCAAACTTATTTTTTTTTTTTTTTAATTTTTATCCAAGTCGTTATATAAAGCATTGTACGAGTATATAGTGTTATAGAGATATAACTAACATTATATACAGATATTTCAATTATGATGACAGCAGAATTTATAAAATTAATGTTGGAATAACTAATATTAGTGTAATGAAGTATTAAGAAAAATATTTTAGTCGAGAGTAGGAAAACTTAAGCAAGATAGAAATGAAAAAAAAAAAGCTGTTTAATAGGGAGAATGATAATTCAGACTATCAATTTAATAGTTTAACTGTTTCGTGTTAAAATAGTGATAAATTATAAATTTACTATTTCTGTCTTTTATGATTACAATCTATTATATCAAAAAATAAATTATACTACTGTATTTTACAAATAAATGAAATAAGTTATAAATGTATCGACTTTATAAATTAAAATCTTTTTAACATTTAAAAATGTTTGTTAAGTTTCAACCTCTATTCGACGGACTCGGAACACCGACTGCAAATTTTAAACAAGAGTGAAATTCCAATTCAAATTTCTTGGCGCATATATAATAAAAGCGAACAAAACAGGCCGTTTGGAGTGGTATTTGATACTTTAACTCCAAATCTACCGAATCTTTGGTCATTTAGAATTGGCCAATTTTATGGATTGGAATTGCCCCGATATTTTATGGTAAGATAAAAATGTGAACGATATAATTTTTAAACGGTAAATATTAATACACTTTGAATAATATATTGTGCTAAGTTTAATTTAAAATGTATAATAGTTTCAGTAAGCGTTGAGTTTTCAAATAGCGTCTTATATTTTTTGATATACTTTTACCAAGTTCTAAGACTCGGTTTATCGTTCAATGTAATATCAACATCAAAGAATACGATGTTTTGAGTAAACAAACTGTAAAAGAAAATAATTAGTCTTAAATTTATTTTCAAGTACAGTTTTAATTTGCAATAAAAATAATTGAACTGGAATTGTGTGAAGCTAAATCGAAATAATTATTCAGTGTTTACTCTCGGTAGTATGCACAGGAAGACACACATATATTGTATACAGATATAGAACAACTACAGTTTATCGCTCATCAAATCATCGCGTGTTTCATTTCAATGTTATAGTAAAACGTTATATTGTTATGTTTTTCAATATTAACGGATAGGTATATAAGATTCAAAACTAGCAGAGTTACATAGCTGATGTGCAATTGCCATGTAATCACTTGCAAGTCCCTACCTACCTCCTATTTTACGAGCTCTAGATAAGTTTTTACTTGTACCTCTTCGGTGAATTTCTTTATTATTCTCTTATTTTTATGACTCTTGTTTCCAGCATATAATTAACATTTTTTGAGTGTACTTATATTTTACATCTAATCTTATAATCGGCATACTTCCGTATTGATTTTCTAATATCATATATCCATTAAAAAAATAATTAACCATCATATATTCGCATATTTTTTTTTACAGTGTCCAACAACTATACAACCATATTCTTTGAATATTTAATATATAACATGTAACCCTACTTTAAGTGTCACTTCAAAAAATGTATTTTATGCGCAAGCATATCAAATGGAAGCAAACATATATCATACACAACGGTTTTGCGAGGAACTGTATTATAATTGTTTTATTTTTTATTTTTTTATTTGAATTCCTTTAGAACTTTGTAGGTAAAGTTATATTTTAACATTCGTTTTATCGCATTTTTTCATCGGGTTAAAATCATGTAGAACAAATCAAAGTTTATAAACTTATAACATACTACATAATTCTGTGGATACATTATGTATGACCAATAACGGTTCTTAATTTATTGGTATATAATGGTAATATATATCATGATTTCTATTAATCATTAGTCCTAGTGAATTAAAACATGACTATGTTAAATCCAAAAATAATATTGTTGCACAACTGTAGTAAACACGTGTGAACATTATAAGGGAAAGTTAATCCTATAATCGGATTTCATGTATTGTCAAATCATTAGAAAACCATTGAACTACTTGATACCCTGTATGACTATAAACAATGTATACATTCCCATACATCGTGACAATATCTTCGTCAATACTCGAAACAAGGAATAATGGTTGTCCAATTAGGATGCGATCCTTTTGGATTTTCGATCATTGTGATAAATATACGTTTTCAATGGAGGTGGCAATCTGATTAGCTATTAAACTGAACAAATTAAAAACGAACGGATTTACGACGTATATCGATCGCGAATGTGTCTCATGACGTGATGTTACTAAAAGTAACCATCATAATAATTCAAATGGTACAAATCTTGTAAGAAGTTTACCTAATTATTCTTAAATAACAATTTGTAATTGTCTTATATTTGGCAATTGTCTTAAGAAAAATGTAATTTCTAAACGTTATGAACAAATGTATAGCACTAGACAGATTCGTAGTAATATAACTGTGTAAATAATTAGAAAAAATAAACATTCCGAAAACATACAACTTTGTAACTATTCAGTGATGGATAGTGAAAAAAAATGAATATAAAAGACTATATTTTATAACTCTAAAGTACTATGATTATATTCATAAACCTTTGAAGTTCCGCATCAGGGATATAAATATTAATCAAGAGACTTAAGAATATCGAATGCAAAGATTATCTAGTCAGCTATATCCTAAGAATTCTCTCAGATAATTTTATTGGTGGACATTCACAACCGTTTTACGAAAACCGAATAGCCACCTCACGAAACCAAAAGGAAATAATGCTGAATATATGTTATGAATTTGCGAGGTCTGTGCAAAGGAGGTCATAATTATTCCATCGGGATGTAATATCTTTAAATTATTTCAAATTAACAAAGCACTGAGCATACGCAATGTCCATAAATAATGATATCTATGTAATATAGAATATTTATATTATAAAAATATCCGACGTCAAATCTGTTTCCATAATCGTTATCCTACACAATGTAACACAAGATTAATCGATTTTCTACAAATTAAGTACGTTTGGCATATCCTACTATTTAGCAGGTAACTTGTACAAGTGTATACGTTATAATTTTAATACAGAAGCGAAACATTCTCTTATATTCTTGTTTTATTATTTGCAAAACCGTATACATCAATGTATTCAAAAATAAATAAATCCAGGAGTCCACGAATCATGGTATAGTTTGTAATTAATTACAATAAATAATTCCTCATATAAACGGACAATAATGATTAATATAACTTAACGGTACACAAATATCCATATTAATCTACAACCTATATTATATATAATATGTAATTAAATCGTATTTATCTTATAATAATATAATGTACTATTATTACATCAACGCGAATCACGCTTAGTTGAAAATAATAGGCTTTGTATTTGAGCAGCTATTCACTACATTAATTTATTAGTTTATTTATTTATTTATTTAATATAAAAATGGATAATATGTAACTATATAAAAGTAAAATATGGAAAATTAATGGAATACTAAAAATGACGAATAAATTATATACATTTTTTGACAATACAACGTGTGTAGAAATTTCTCATTAATTTAAAACGATTTATAGCGTTTTTTATCGAACAGATTGTTCGGTTTCAGATCAAGCCAAAGATTTTGAAACTAGGACCAAGTGAACTAGGATTTGTAACGTTTTATTTAGATCGAACTACAGAAATATATCTTAACCGCGATAAAAATAATATGGTGTACGGAAATGCAGTCGGTATAGTGACTGCTCTCGAACCATCAGAGTAAGTGAACATTTTAATTTAATCACACTTAATTATACAACATATATAACAAAGTGTTTACTGCGTTCGTTCAAATAGACGTAATCGTACAACACTAAGATAAGTTGCTTTAATATCATATGAATTCTGTCATCCTCGTTGATATCAGTGATTGTTTTTCTGTGGCCTTTTCGAGAGAATATTATTTTAATCATTCATTGAATAAAATAACCCTACATTTTATTTTTTATTGATGCATCTGTCAAATAATATATCATATGCATATATATGTACTTTATCACAGTATCTTTATTCACTTCTTCCGGAATTCATAAATGTCAAAATGTCTACAGCTCTCGATGTTTTAGTGAATGGCATAAAAAAATATAAATAAATATAAGTGATAATATATCTTACATAAGATAACCTGTGTTTTGTACTGTTTTAAAAATGCAATAAGTAGAAATCAAGTTAATATTTTCGAATTCAAAAAGGAACATAAATTAATTATTATTTTTACGCAAATAAATTATGTAAATTTTAAATAATAATATTTTAAAGATCATTAAGTTGGTATCGTTACATCAACACATTATTGTCGACCTCCGTCGTAATGTAAAATGTTGCAAATAGCTCTAGGAAAACTAATTCATGTATTCTCATCTCAGATATCGCATTGTCAAAACACATAAAAATCCGACTTCATTACATATAACCATAATATGTCTACATTAATTTCAGAAAATACTGCATAAGAAAAGATGGATTCAAACTAAGACCCGCTGTAGTAAAACTTTCCTCGGAAACAAGGCATTCAATACAACCGAACTTGGTCTTACGAGAACTAGATAATACTTTCAAAGTAATAAAATATGTAACGTGTCATTAAAATGTATGATAAAAATATACCAAATAATTTTAACGGGCAAGAAAATATAGCCTAGATAATGTATCTATATCATATTTTTTATTACAAGAAAACATAATAATACAGTTTTTAACTTCCTTCCAAGAAAATGTTCCAGTGTGTATGAATAATTTACCACGATACATGAATTCCAGATTTCGGCGTCCCAAATTCATAACTCTCAGTCACCCTGTCATACGGTCACTCAGTTGTACACTATGCTGAACCTTTTACGATATCCTGCAACGATTTCATTCGAGGTGAATAGCCCGTTCTCGATTAAGAAGTTGCGATCCATAAGATGTGGTGACTGTCCTGGAAATACTAAAATACGAGTGTTTTATGAAGATTTACTTGAAGTACAAATATCTATCATATATTATTATAATTAAAACTTTTACGGATTATTGAATAATCAAATATTATTTAAATTGATTATTGGAACCACAATAAACATTTTTTCCCAAATGAAAATAAATATTTATTTTCTCTTATACTAGAATTTAATTTAATATGATTTTATTGTTTGTGTATTTAGATCGAACTACAAGTTAATATAGATATGAGAGACGTCCCAATACCTAAAATGCCTTTAACAATTACAACCAGAAAATCCACAGCAGAAGGACGTCTATTTGCTCATTGCGAAAACAGTTATTTTAAACCTAAGGTTTGTCCTAAAGAGAATACCAAACTCTAATCACAATTTATAGTTTTAAATACTTAATTGTTTTTACTATCACAACTAGTTTCATTGTAATAATATTTGAATAATTTATTTGTTATTCTGGTTCAAGTTTATAGATAAAATTTAAATAAAATGTAATTTGAAATATTTCACGATTTATCACAGTTAAATCGTAGTGACAAATATGTGTTACATAAGAAACTTCATATTTAACGTGTTTTTTAATTATTTTTAATTACTTTTTCTTTTAAATTCTATCCAAATCAATTACAACTAACGTACTTTTTAACTCCTATTTTCACTAAAGTACGTCTTTTCAATTTTTTTAAATTTGATACAAACTTCATAGCTTACATTATTATAGTTGATCGCCTTATAAATTTAAATTATTTTTTATTTTTAGTGACATTGCTTTTAAATCGTTGACTATAAATTTATAGAAAACAGATACCGTTGTAATGTAAGGTTGGGTCCAAAATTAAATTTAAACCTATAATCTCCAGAAACAATCCATTCTGCATCCGGATAACCATTCTTTAAAAATGCATAAAATACATCTGTTTGAGGTAGAATATTGTCCCGCATAGTTCAAAAAGTATTGATTGAACCCAATATTATTTCATTTTATAAGATATTTTGTAAAAATATTCAGGCTAAAATCCTATTGAAAAAATATCAAGTAAAATGTTTTTGAATTTATTTAATCGTTTAATCTATGCTCAATAATAGCCATGAGCATTATTAGTTTTCATTTAATCAAAAACTTAAAAAAAAAAAATAAATAAAGTTAACATTTTATATTTATTGTTTATACTACTTGATTACTTGATTACTTGAATTGAATGTGTTATATAAAATTTAATAATCAGCGAAATATCTAAAATCGTACTATTCTTATGTAATTATTAATAATTTATAGTTAATCTGAGTAATTTATTTGATATTTTTCAAATGTTCACATAAAAAAATACTAGGTTCAACCAAAATCGATTAAAATTCTCAATAATACGATTACTTTGTTTACAAATCTTAAGATTATTTTAATAATGTTTTAAAAAAGTTCAAACAATTTCAAGTTCAAAAAAAATTTGGAGTTTTTTTTTCCAAAATCATAATTTAAAAAGTTTTTTTTTTATTTATTTATATTTATTAAAACGATATTGCAGCTCATATATATATATATATATATATCATACCACACACACAAAGTCTAAAACTAATATTTTTAATATCTTGCCATACTGTAAAACGGTTATTGTTATTATTGAACGTAATAATAATTGTCTAACTTGGTCGGTTGAATAATAAATACTAAGAACACCTATAATTTATATTGTTTCGTTGTGATCATTCGGAGACGCGGCTGTACAGAACTTTACTATTATATACGATAGACGGGTAGAGGGAAAAAAATAAGAGAATAAAAAGGGTCGCCTACCTACCGTCTACCTACTCAATTATGTTATTGTTATTATTCATAGTACGTGTATATTATATGGATGGTCTTTTGTTTAGACGGTCGCCCTGTTCAAGGCTCACATATATTTTCCTATACTAAAACTGTCAACGAAGTATATAAATTTCGGCGAAGTGGTCGTGAGGGAGACTAAAAGCATGGACGTGATGTTATCTTCTTATCCAGGTACACGCACGCACACGCAGACACATGCGCGATCACCAAGTGAAATAATAAACGTATAGATTAACTTTTGCCGACCCGGTTTTCGCCTTGTTGAGCATCAAATCGCCCGTGTGCTCGCCGTTCAACGTTGTTCGTGAACTTATGCGATTTTTTGTATTTTTTTTCCCCTTCTCACAGGGCCTGAGCGTTTTGTTACAAGCTCGAAAGACGACGTGTTCGCAATATCACCCGGAGACGGTGTCGTATCTCACATGCCAACCTCGCTCACAATCTCGTTCAGACCTAAGTAAGTCGTGAAAAATTGACTTTTTTTTTCTCATAAATATCACCAAAGTTAGCGGTATTTTTGACGTAAACATAAAAAAAAAAAACCACTACTATTGCTAAAAATACTACCATCGAAAAACCGTAAACTAAATTTATAAATCAATCAAAATAAAGTTATATCAACTTACAAGTATAGTCGTATCAAAAAATTGTTTTATCCAGACCCTTATCGTTTCGTAAATAGATTAATTTCTTACGAGCAAGACATTTACAAAAAATAATTTCAATGATAGTAATACAAAAATAATAATACTGTTTAAAAAAAAATAAGTATATATTTTAAGTTGAAATAAATAAATCCACATAGTATTAAAAATCTCTTCGGCATTTGTATTAACATAATAAAATATTTGAATATTTTTCTTGAAAATGTTTAATAAATCAAACATTCAATTTTTTTTTTTTTTTTTAACTTTTATACAATACAACTCGAAAACTTATCATTTAAGATTTTATGTGAAACATGGAAATGAGGAATATATATGTGTGTGTGTGAGTGTGTGTGTGTGTATGATTTGTATATAATTTCAAGTAAAAAGAGTACTTCAATTATCCCCAAAAAAATAATGAAAAATAAAAATAGATTCTAATTGGCCCTTTCGGGGGTTATTTTTCTTAATGATTTCCAAAAATTTACGAAAATTGTTAAAATGTATTGATTTTTGAAAAAACTGAATTTTCGTATTCATTGTAACTCAAAAAACAATTATCTTATAAACGTGAAATGTTCATATAATACATAGGAATATATTATCGTATGTTATAGATTTTCAAAAGATTTTTACGAGGTACAAACAGGAAATTTATATTTTTTTAGCTTTTTTTTCGAAAATTTTGATAACAAAAGCCTTGAAAATTAATTAAAAACTTTCTCATGCATTCTATTTTTGATTAAATAAAAAGTGTAGTAAAAATAAATTTTAAATTTTTAAATATTGAATTTCGAAAAAATCCTCTACATTTTTATAACTAAAATTTCATGAAATTCTCAATATTTGTACTTTATGCTTAAAAATTGGACACAAGATTTTTAATTTATTTTTATAGTCGATAAAAATATTTACTGGAAAGTTTCAAAAATAATTTATAAGCATTACAAATTAAAATTTTAACGAAATCGGATCATTCTATGAATTTTCATTAAAAAATATTAATTATTAAGACATTTCATATTGTTGAATTATTTTAAAGAAGTGTATGCTTGTTTGCTGCACTTTTTCTCAAATTCTAAATGTATTTTATTCTTGGTGAATTTTAAAATATTTGAATTTTAACCTACCTTATTAAGTTTTAATTTTTCTATTAATGGACTATCCTTAGAAATATATACGAATTACCCAACCTTTTTTGTTTAGAATCATTTTTTGAAGAGCAATGATAGATTGGCTTTTAATTTAAAAGAACAAAACAGTAATATAATTTTCCCTCCCAGTATCTCACCCAACATAGGAGTCTTAGTCTTTTTATATTTAGATTTTTGTTTTAAACCGATAACTTTTAGACATCTTTGGATAATAATGAATCAATAATGACTAATTTCAATCATTATTCACATGTCTAAAGTGAATTTAATGACTTGAAAATATATTTAATATAGATTGAATTTATCCGGTCTCATGAACAAAGTTTTAACATTTTCTAAAAAATGTAATTTTATATTGGCATTTGAACACTTAAAAAGTCGACGATAAACTTAAAAGCTTTTTTCCAGATCACTTTGTTTTATGAGATTAAACTAAAAAACCTTGGTGAAATATTTGCATAAATATCAATAAAAATACTATATTTGAGGTCTCTACTTAAGTGTTTAAATAAATTGTAATTAAAAACGCAAACTGAAGTACAATGTTTATTTATTTCGATTTCAAAAAAAATTAAACTTTACAAATTCAATAAAGCAACCATTTAACAAGGCGGTATTAATCATCTGATATATTTTATAAACCACTTTTGTTTTAAGCTAATGATAAATGTTGATGTATTTGTCAACTTCACAACTTTTTTCATTTCTCAATATCGTAATCATTCAATTTCATGACTACAGTTTTACAGACATTTTTCTTTTTCTTTAAAGAGATCTATTGTAAGTTATTCTAGGTAAAATGTAGGGCATTATATATTTTCTCGGTAGATAATCGATGCAATAAACAAATTTTTATAACAGCGATTTATAACATAAATGCGCATCTTCAATAACCGATGAATTTATTTAGAAACGAATTACAACAAAACATGAAATACATTTAAAAAATAAAATTATTTTATTGATCTTATAGTGAATCGGATTGCTTGAACTTTGAAAATATAGACTCGTAATCAGCAGAGAAAATAATAGATTTTGATACATCTTTTTGGTCACGACCCTTTAAATGTCCTCATTGAAAATTTAAGACATTTTTCTAAAACATCATATAGTTTTTAGAAATTCTATTCATTTATTTTCATATATTTTATCATTAAATTTTAGAAGAAATGAAGAATAAATTGAAAAAATATAAATGTCTCCAGGACATTGACCAAAATGTCATGTTCGATTTAATCATTACAAAATCCATTTCGTTTACAGATATACAGATATTCGCTATTTTCTTAAAAGTTAAATAGTGATAACCGAAAAAATATATTCTTGTTAAAATAATACAGAATACTCGTATGAATTAGACTTCGAAACTTATTCTAAAACACGAATGGTTTTATATAGAATAATTAAGTATTGTGTGAATAACAGAAAAAAATAAAACATTAATAGTACAATTATGCATAAGGATACTTTTATAAATAATAATAATCTAGATAACATATAAATTGGGTAATTTTATTCTCAAAAATATTATTAACAATTTTCTAATAAATTCATCCCGAAAAACTTGCTTCCTTACTTAATATACCAAAATAATTATAAATACCTAGTAGATATTAACTACAAATATCAAAAGCATTGTTTTAATATTGAAAAAAGTACATTTAATTGTGTTCTATTGTGTTATTGACGACAGTATGATGAAAGTTTAAATTAATTCGACTAAGTTTGAAATTGAATAATTATTTTTTCTATCCAGTAACATTACATTTGAAGTGAAATTTACAATATTACATGCATTTCGAAAATGTGAAATTTTTCTTCGTTATTAACAGTAATTAAATTAACAAATACGTATACTGTTTTAGTTGTTTTTGTTAAAATGAGTAACTGATATGACAAAAAAAAATAAATAAATAAATGATATATAAACTTAACGTAAAACAAAAATTAAAAACATTTGACATAATTTCTTCTTACCATTTATAAAATGAAATGAAAACATATATTTAATGTTTGTAAGGAATTTATATTTTCAAATATAATATGAATAAAATAATAATAATAAATTATGCGTTAAAAAATACAGTAATAACTTTTGATTCAAATTCTGTGTGAAATCAGTTATTTTGTTTACACGTAGGGAAAGTACAATAAATATTTATTGATATTTTGATACTTATTTGGTGGAGAAAATATTTAAGAAAAAAATACTTTTATTGGTTTTATCATTTTAGTACATATTGTGCATACAACTTAAAATATTTATATTCTATTTTATGTTTAAGAGCTCATAAGAGGTACTCAAACAAAATTGAAATTTGGACAACAATACCGATGGATGTGATTTATCTCAAAGTATCTGGATTTGGAATCAAATAATATTAATATATTATAGTTGCATGTACACATTTGTGACGAAATAAAATATTTAATACTTATTTTTTATATCTTATTAATTTAACTTAAGCAGTTTCAAAATAAAAATTTTAACAATATTAATATATATATATTTATTTATTTGTAAGTGTGTGTGTGTATGTGTATGTTAATGTGTGTGTTTGTGAGGCATAAAGGCACAAACACATTAAGGCTAAGTTAAACAAGTAGGTAAATATGTTGAGCAATTCAGCTTACTAAATAATTTGTTAATTACATTTTTTTTTTTTTTATTATTCAATAATATAATACATGACTTTCTTAAAGTATGTTTAAACGATTTCATAAAAATAATCATAATATACATATAAACAAAAACTTAAATATCCGTTGTCAAATAGTTTCAACCAGTCACGATTTCTCTAAAAATATCTCAACTTTTTAAAAATCATTCAGAAATATTAATTTCAATATCTTTTCCGTAATTCTTCTTATATAAATATATTACATTTAATTATTAATCATAAATATTTTACTCGTCACTTAAATACATTCAGTGTTTGAGCTCAAAATATATACAAGCCTATACTTAGAAAATAATTTTCTTCATTGCATAGTTCAAAATAAAAAAAAGTACTATTCATAAAATAATGTAACTCTCGATCAATTATAATGTTGCTCTTAAAATAGTAATAAGATGAAATCAAAAACAAAAATCACCACCGTACGTATAACTACGTTTAGTACATGTTTGGTACATGTTACGTAATGTGTTTGACAACATACGCGCGCCTTTCTTATCGTTAATCGTGTATGTGAATGATAAAATGGAGGCAGTGTCGACTCCACGGTTTTCGGGGTCCGGTGCAGAATTTTGTGGGACCCCATATATATATTAATTTATTAATTTATTAATTGTTTATAAAAATCTTAGTTTGTTCATGTTATTATATAACTAAATAATGTTTTGAACCGTCATCGACGATAAACAATTTTACAAGTGCATGCACGTGCAATACTTCAAAGCTATGCGTAATTGGTACCGTCTTAATTTTCGTCGATAACAACCCGTTTTCTGAGAAAACCACAAGACCACACGAGTTGCGATTTGCGTACTGGGACTATATTATTTTTACTTATAAAGTGATATTCGTAATACACCATTTGTGGGGCCCCATACAAACGTGGGGCTTGGTGCGATCGAATGGTTTGGCCTCCTCTAGGGCCGGCACTGCATGGAGGTGTTCGTACGGCACGTGCGCGTGGAGGTGAGATCAGTGCTCAACGTTTCTTTTTTTTTTTACGTAACAAAAAAACCACTTTTTATACACGATCACATTTTCGTATTTTTTTTTCATTATTTATTCTTTAATTTTTAATGATTCGCGTGTGCGTATTACACCGGTGCGTTATATTTATTATTATTTTCTTATAAAAATTCGCGTGTGCGTATAACATCGGCGCGTTATACTTATTATTCTTTCGCGGGTGCGTACCAACCGTCGCGATTATCATTAATACATTTTTTTGTTATAACATTCGCATGTGCGTTCTATACCGGCGTAGTATTATATTTTTCGAATTCTTATTATTAATTAACAATCTACAAGGTATTTAGTTATATTTATTTAAATTACCTTATCATAGATACGTTGTACATATAAGTTAAGTATTATCTATCTTTATTTATTTAATTGGTTATAATCTTGTTCAATATTGCATGCAAAATATTATTATTATTTCTTTATGGGTTACATTGTTATTATTCTTTTCTCTACTCGAGTTAATACCTGTCTTTACCTAATTATATTTTTTATCCGTGTCCCCACATCCTAACGTAACACAGTTCAGGCTAGGGTTCAAAACAATACATAACATATAACTATTTTGTTAAGTTAATGGTGTTTATGCAGTTAGTTATCAGCAAAAATGCATGTATTAATATATATATAATACATATTACGGTTTTATGAATATACCCGTATATATTGTATATATTTTATATTTGTTATATATTTATCGGTTTTATATACTATATATAACCAATATATTTGTGTAATAAATAATATACTATATATTTTGGCAAGCCGCACAGTGTGTAGCTCAGTTTTAAATGAAAGTTGTTTTTATCTAACAAACACAATTGAACAAGTCCTAAAATGTCTGATCTAATAATTAAATATATTTATAAATAATTCTTAATTTAAATTATTTTCAATCAAACCTCACATTCCTATATAAAATCTAAAAATTATTTTAATTTAAAATATAAATAAGGTTAGTAAAAATATAAAATTTAATAGAAATGTTTCACATATAATTGATGGTTGAAAGTACTGTTGTTATAAATCAAAATCCCAGCATAAACATAAATTATATTACTAATGATTTCCAAAAAGCTTATTAAAAGATAGACAATATAAATGATTGTGAATGTTAATAAAAATATTATAATTATCATTTACTTACCAGCTGAACAATGGAAATCAAAGTAAAAACCACCTGAAACATATTTAAAATTGTTAAGTTAATATTATTGACTGTGGGAATATTAATACATTGTTATCTTTAGAAAATTTATTTTTTCTCTGTTTACTATTTTATTCTTAAATATAATGAAAATGCAACTTAGGTACTAAAACTAAACTAAAATTAAATAAATAACCTAAGTACCTACATGTTTTGATATTAATACAAGTCATATTATTAGCATAAGTAACTTAGAAAAGTTACATGTTAAAATTTAAGAATATTAAACACATTAAACAGTAAATTAAAAGTTATAATGTAAATATGATTTTATATTATAAACTAACATGTTATTAGGAGAACCATTAAGCTTTATGCTTCTCTTCAGTTAATAAATATATTGAACATTTTATTTATTTTTCATATCCAATATATTTTTTTATAAACTTGCTCATATTTTATTATATACTTTTCATGATAATAAAAAAAGATGAGTTTCAAGGGTTTAATGTTTTTTTTTACACCCAAAATTAAAAAAAGTATTTAAAAAGTTTTTAGTATTTTTATTTTTCATAAAACAAAAAAAATATATATTTGAAACCCAATTTAGTTATTTAAACGGGTTCGTTAAATATTTTTATGCCAACCAATTTAATATTCATTAAAATTATTTGATTGTGTAGTGTTTCTAATTTTGGCAAGCTAAAAATAGTACGAAGTGATTTCATGTTATATTGAAATTTTTCTAATACTCGTAATAATAAATGTGGTAATTATAAATGATTATGCCGCAATGGAATTAATAAGTTAAAGGTATCATCACCAATCATTATTAATCGAATTAGTATACAACTCGGTGGACTTCGGGGGTCTTTAGACGTTTTTAATACATACAATCGTTCTCGTTTGACGGCAAAACATTTATCAAATAATGTGACAGAAAGGGAAAAAATTACTGTCAAGTGACTAATTTTTAATAATCCATTCTTTGCCTATCATTGAGTGCTATTAATTTTACTCCGATAATTAAGCGCACAAAATCACGATTAATTAACCGTGCCTAACGTGAGGTCATTTTCTTCTGAAGCATTATCATAAAAAAAAAAAAAAAAAAATGGGTTAATACTGACTTGTTGAAAACATTTTCGGGAAAACAAAAGAATTGCCTATAAAATATTAAATCTTAAAGGGCCACTAAATTATGATGGCTATATTAAATTGTTTTCCGATTTTTCATACTACTATAATATTTAAAAATTATAAGAAAATATTAACATAAAAAATACACAATCAATATGATTAAGGTTAAATCAGATTCTTTAAATATTACCATTCGGTTTTAAAAAACCCATTATGTCTTTATTGCATTCTGTTTTCTTCGTAAAAATATGTTAAAAAATATCATTTTAAAAACATTTGCCAAGATTTTCTGGGTGTATTGCAAAGATTTTCGTACATAAGTAAGATATAACGTGTTAAAAATGAAAAAAAAAAAGCCCATAAACCGTATCATTTTAACTTGTCTCATGTACACATAGGTTTTGAACAGTTTATTTGTGTGGGGATTTAGATAAGATTTCTGAGATACAGTTTTTTATTATTTATCGTACTTCGAAATTCATTCATTTTCGGTAATCATTTTATCTGGAACCAGCCTTACCAATAGAAGGAATAAAATTGTAATATATTCGTGGGAAAAGTGAACTATAACTTTACTACTCAGTGTGAGTTTATAACAATATGTCGAATATTATTATGATTACAGAAGAAGTGATCAAAGTATGGAGTAAACCACAAAAACATGATTAAACTTAATTGATCTCCATGTTATAAACATAAAAATGCAACTTATTGCAAGTGCAACATTTGTTTGTCTGCATTGTTAGTTTAGATTTGTATATTTTTACACTTCACATGTTTTATTACGAAATAAAAATAAATACCATTAAAGGTGCTTTAGTTGACCATCAGAGAAGACGTTTTTCCTTGTAACTGTTCTAACTTCAGAACGAAATAAATACTTAAACGTAAAAATCGGATTTTATGCGTATCATTATTCAATGTTACAATTTATTTTCGCTTTATTTCCACACACATTTTCTCTTGTGGCTGTGTATATTTTGTACGCGATGGTTGCGGCAAGATCGCATTAAGATAAATTCGATTTCAAATCGATCGCCATAAATACGAACATGTGTGTGTGTTTGTGCGTGTAAGGTAACGTCGACTAGAAATAGTTGGCCTCGTTATCACCGCCCCGTGCCTTTATTTTCATCTCGTCCTCAGATCGTTTCTAGAGTAATGGGAAAAAAAACTCTGGCCAGCGGGAAGTGGTTCGGGAGGAAAGTGCTGAGGATAATGACCGGGTACAGTGGTGGCGGAGAAAAATTTTCGCCATTATTCTGTGACCCGGTGGCGATTCGCGGGCCGGTAATATAGGAGGTAAACCGATATTAATTTTTATTTACCGTCAATGCTAGAAAATACTTATAACCGTCCGCTGAAAAGACAACGGGAACGGTCGCGGCGAAGAATTCGATGATTTGTACGTTCGGGACAAGATCGAGTACGTATACACATAGGTCGAGCATAGAACGCGCAGACGCGATAATAGCGGTAAAGCTATAGTGGACGTCGTATTGTCTGAAAACCATTGAAACAATATTATACTGCTCAACGGTGGTGGTGCGGCACCACACTGTGGTCGTTCTTGTCCGATTCTCCGGAAAAGTCATGAAACACCCCGTCGTCATCACGTAAAAAAAAAACTTTCGCAATAGTGTTATTATTCGAAAGTTATAATCATTCACGGTACGTCACGATGACTGCATATCGTATAACGGTATCCCGATGAACTATCGAAACGCGGTAGTTTTTAACTTCTGTTGATTTTCGTAATATTTCTTGGCATCCGAGATTCGATTTTCGAGGAGCGCGAAGAAATGATTATAGTGTAATAGGATTGGAAATAGTATATGATTCGATAGTTTTGAACGCAAGCCGCCGGGTTTACGTACACGCGTTTGAATCGGACGTTTTTCACCGCCCGGATGACTCCTTAGGTAGCTCAGGAAGCGTATGGGACTTGCCGGCATCCAAATGTTATTCAAGTCTCTTCAACGTTTAAGGGAAATATTAGCCTTCAGAAAACGCAATCCAATCTACGTCTACGAAAAAGAGGAGAATTCATAAGCAAACGAATATTTTTAATATAAAAATATCCTACTACTGCGCAATTTAAGTAAACTGATACCGTCCCGTAATAAACATACTCTTATCATTTAACATTTTACAGTACACGGTGTATTTTATAAATGATAGTAATATCACGACAGCTGATATTGTTAATATTCGATAAACAATGAGAACTCGATCCGTACTGATTAACTACATCCATTGATATGATTCATAAGATTACACGCATTTCGAAATTCATATTAAATAAATTTGTTCGTCATTTATAGACAATCCTATTTTTTACATTCATGTGTTAGTTTTGAAAACGATACAACTTTTTATTTTATTTTATTTTCCATTGAATCAATTATTTTATTTTATTATTATAGGTACGTGAAATTGGTTCCCTTTGTCCTATAAGTTTCAAACAAAAGACAAATAATTGTAAATTAATTGTAAATAGTTTTAAATGCAATTTTGTAAAATTTGTAAATTCTCAGAGAACCAGGAACAGCTCGTTAGGGGAGACTTAGAGACTGCGTCTCCCTTTAAAGAAAAACAGCTACTTATAAATAATAACTATTTAAGAATAAAAATATTATATATTATATAGATATCACTATCTTTGTTTATTATTACAACTTGAATTCCACAAAATCTAAAATCTATAAGTAGTTATTTCGATGGAAATACTATTTTAGTTATTTCGACGACGCATCAGTAAAATTGATGCCCTACAGGTTCAACCATAACATGTAATATTTTGGTTTGTTGGACAGAAAGAGCCGAGAAGAGTAAGCCACGTATTATAGACACTATTGAAACTGAATTCACTAAAATAATTTCCGTATCACCGCACAGTCATTAGTCGCTGTATGCCATCATCTGCGTTTATTTTCGAGTTCGCAGATAAAAATGTGTAGCAGAATTGAATAAGGTTATGAAAAAAATTTGGTATTAAAACTGTATTTAATTTATTTATTACTAACAAACTATAAGTAACTAATAGCTTACAAGATTACCTTTTCGTTATTATAATAAAATAACTTAACTTTTCAATAGGAAAAATAAACGCATTTTTTCACATAACTTAAAAAAAATATATATATAAGTAATAAAAAAAATTAACTATGTATTTCCGATATCTCCTATATTTCTGATATTTCCTTGAAATTCAAAAAATATACTATATTAGATTAATAATATCACAAGTTCGACTCGTTACTAATATTAAACTATATACTACCATAATTATGCTAACTATATTCATGATGTAATCTTACCTATAATAATAATAATATTTATAATAATTTGATTATGATTTTCCATGTTCTCTGAGAATTTACAAATACCAAAATTACACATACAACTATTTGCAATTAGTTTGAAACCGATAGAATGAATTGAGAGGTTGCGTGAAGTTGGCCCCACCCATTTTGATTTTGATTTTGATTTTCTGACATTTTTGGGGATTGACAAATTCCAAAATTGCATTTACGATTACCTACAATTAATTTACAATTATTTTTTTTTTTTTTTTTTAAACTAGTAGGATAAACTAAGAGCAAACTTCTCGTACGTCATTATTATTACTGTTGAAATCTTATAACGAATTATTGTTTAGAAATTATAATTATGTAGAGCTAAACATTTACTCGTATTATAAAATTTAAGACATCAATTTAGATCATTATTATTAAGATGATTTTTTCCAGAATTTTTAAAAATGTTGAGAGGAGACTTAGAGGTCTATATGAGGAAGAAGCATCTGGAAGTTTGGAAGCCTTATGCATTAATATTATAATTCAGTGTTTTCTGGTGAAAAGGATACAGCATAGACATAGGATATTGTCGAA